TATGTGATCTGTTGCATTTTTTTTCCTGCGTCTGTTGTTGGATTTAGATTAGTAGTATACAGAAATTTACTTTGAGAATATCTACTATCTCCAAGTAAATGACCTAAAAATAAAATAATTATAATCATATTTATTAATAATGTTAAGTTTTGCTATGTAAAATTAAATTTTAATATAATTTTATGGGAAAAAAAAATTTGAAACTCTGAATTATTTTGCTACGTCATTTGTATAAAGCAATATAATTGTTGATTTGTAGTTAAATAATCTAATTTAATATATTTATTATATTTTATTACCAGAAAAAATATTTCCTTCTACTAGAAGTTTTTTACGGCTATTATTAATTTGGGAGAACTGCAAATCACAATATCAATAATAATAATACAAAAACCAATACATTGTTTACTTTGAAATCAATTAAAAGTAAAATATTTACTTACCCTTCAATGGGATTCTGTATATCACATATACAGTAAAATCTCTATTAATGGACACCTCTCAATAGTGGACTCTTCCCAATAAGGGACGTGGACACTAAAAACTACCAGAATTACTAAAATTAAAAACTACCTCTTATAAATGGACACAATACATGTCGAAATTAATGTTAAGTCATAAAAATACTATATTTATCTGTTACACATTTCGTTCATATCTTATCTTATCTGAATGGTTTTCCTATTCGAAAAATGACAAATTATATACCTTTTATGTATAAAAAATACTATATTTATCTATTATATATTTCGTTTATAGGTGAATAACATTTTGCGTGTAATTTAAAAAAATATTACACTGAGAACGGCAATGAAAAAATGAAGAGGAAATTTTCGAAGACATCGGATGGAGCACTTGTAGATAAAGTTACATTTAAATGGTTCTGTAGAGTACGTTCATGTAATTTTCCTATTTCTGGATCATTGCTCCAAGAAAAAGCACGAGAAGTTGCAAATGATGTAGGTCAAGAAAATTGTAAAGCTTAAAATGGTTGGCTTCAAAAATTCCGAGAATGTCATAACATTTTTTTTTAAAAATATATGTGGTGAAGGTAACTCTGTTGATTCAACTGACGTAGAAAATTGATTCGAAAAATTGAAAACATTAATTTCAGATTATGAACCAAAAAATATATTTAATTGTGATAAAACAGGTTTATTTTTTCGAGCACTTCCTGATAAAACATTGAGTTTAAAAAACGAAATTTGTAGTGGACGTAAAATAGATAAAGATCGTTTTACTGTTTTATTATGTGTAAATATGGTCGGGGGAATTTGAAACTCCATTAATAATTTGAAAATCACTAAAACCGTATTGTTTCAAAAGTGTAAATGTATCAACATTAGGTGTTAATTAGAAAGCTAACCGTAAAGCGTGGATGAATCGAGATTTAATAACAGACTGGCTAATGTGTTTTAATAGAAAAATGGAAATAGAAAATAGAAAAATAGTTTTATTTCTAGATGCCGCTAGCTCACATTCTGATACATTAAACTTAAAAAATATAAAACTAATTTTACTTACCTCCAAACACAACTTCAATTTGTCAACCACTAGATCAAGGAATAATTAAAAATGTTAAAGTTCATTATTACCAACGATTACTTCGTCATATTTTATCTAGAGTGGATCAAAATGTAGAAAACAAACCCAGACAAAAATTCTATAACTTTAATGTTCTGATAAAATTTTATTTTAACTTTTATTGAAATACTTCGAACATAAACTTGGATCATAATTTTAAGAATATACCATGATAAATGTTATGCTATCAATATTTCGATTAGTTTAACCCTTTCAGCTCCAAGGATTGAAGTTTATAAAAATTAAAAATCTTTGTTTTTTAACATTACTATATAGGTCTCGAATAAGAAATAAGATTTAAAAATTTTTCATTCTCATGAAAAACTTAGTTTTTCCAGACCCGATGCAGTATGACATCATTGGGAATACAGGGATATATATTTTACGGTTGATTGGTTCCTGTCGCCGATGGTTACGGCGGCGACACAGGGATGAACAATTTTAACGTGCTCGTTACGCTTATCATTGCGCGTAAACATTTTCGGGCACAGAGCGCATTGAAATTTAATACCGTCGTGAGTTTTAGCGTGGCGAGTCATATTGCGTTTGGTGGAAAATACTTTTCCACAACCGGCGTAGGTACATACAAACATTATTAAACGGACAGAAAAAAAAAAAAAAACGTTGTATTACAAGAATTGAACACAAAACGAAAACGACGAGAAAACCGGAAGAGACGAGTGCACTAGTTAGTAGTAAAATCACTACTGACGATCGGTTTGTTTTCGATCCAATGCCTACAAAAATCGGTTTACGTCCGCAGAAGGAATTTGTGCATGATCTAACGGGAAAAACCGAGAACAATACATTTTCTCACACAGGCCCTTGCATGCAAGAAACACACTGTGTACGCTGCTGAAGATATGTGTGTACATTTTTTCGTATTAGATTCACGAAACGGGACCCGCGGTACGCCGCGTAATATAGTTGAAATTGTATACGTATGATAAATGTATGTGTGATCGTAATCGTACGTGATATCGCACGAATGTGCCGATCGCCGACGCTTATGTTTCGTATAGGTATACGAATATATTTCGTATCATGCAGGAAGGAGGAGGAGACGGGGGTTGTGACGACGATTATATTCCGTATAGGTAACAAATCGCGTGCGAGTAATATTATTTTGTTAAAATAATCAACAGGGAGTAGATGGTGTGAGTGTGTGTGTGTGACACAAACAGGGAAGATATATTTCGTATACGAAATACTTGCCATGTATTGAAACATCATCCTGTGATAACAGTAGGTGTAACGATATATTAATGTGTACAACGATTTATGTATTAGGTATATTTTGTAATAACAGAAGGTATAACAGTAGGTATAATCGTGATAAAATATTACATAACTTTTATAAATTGTAATCTAGACAATTTGAGTGAAAAAGAAACAGAACAATCCGAAAAAGAGGAACAGGAAGAAGAAGAATACCAGTCGATATACAATCCAACAATAAATAATTTACAAACATTTTAAAAATAAAGAAGATGAGATCGCATCATCAATGGTAGCTTATTGGCAAATTCATTGTTAAGAGCAGAAAAAAATTACACAAAAAAAGATTACAGATTTTTATAATTGTACATAAACATTAAATATTTTTGTACACTTTTTAACACATACATATTATACATATGTATTATAATAAATAATAAATTATTATTTCAATGTATATGTATGTACATAACTAATTTTCTACAGCGTCTTCCTATAGTGGACATTTAGTAATTTCTCGCAAATGTCCACTATGTAGAGGTTTTCTCAATAGTGGACAGTTTTTTTATTCCCCATGGCTATCCACTATACGTTTTACTGTATACCGTTTTGGAACCATAATAGGTATTTCATAATCAAGCGAATCGAAAAAATCATCATATAGGTTGGCGTAGTGGTTGTACATGTTGATTAAAATCGATTAATTATAAATTGCAAACAAAAAAATAATAAAATCTTGATGAACAATATTCGTAAGATACTGTTGAGGTTAGTTTCAAGGTACCTTAACAATTTCTTAATTGTTACTTAAATTATTCCTAAGTACTATCTAAAAATGTAAATTTTTTAAGATTAGTTTATGAAATAACTTAAATGTTTCTCAGAAATTGTAAGTCTAATTTATTAATATCAATTTCTCTTTTAAGTTGGAATAAATCTAAGATTTTTTTAGGATCGTCTATAAATTTAGCCATAGGGCATGGTAAAATGTGACTATAATTTTAATTTTTAATCTATTATATATTATAATAAAATATAGGATTTTTGAACTTATGTTCTTATCATTATTAATTAATGTGATATAAAAGCTTGTAATACTTACTAAGTTAATCTAAAGCTTAAAATTTTATGTTTGTTATAGTCTTATATATTTTCTAAAAAGTTGATAATTATGTTTATTTTTGTTTTAGAATAAATACCAAAAGTGTAAAATATATATCCCTGTATTCCCAATGATGTCATACTGCATCGGGTCTAGAAAAACTAAGTTTTTCATGAGAATGAAAAATTTTTAAATCTTATTTCTTATTCGAGACATATAGTAATGTTAAAAAACAAAAATTTTTAATTTTTATAAACTTCAATCCTGAAAGGGTAAAACCAATCGAAATATTGATAGCATAACATTTATCATGGTATATTCTTAAAATTATGATTCAAGTATATGTTTGAAGTATTTCAATAAAAGTTAAAATACAATTTTATCAGAACATCAAAGTTATAGAATTTTTGTCTAGGTATGGATATACAAACTTAGAAACGGCCCGAATTACAGGATTTGGTATATGAAACATTAGAGTACTATATAAGGCTGGGGTCCTTAAGACTTCAACTGATACCGTAGAAAGATATAAAGTACACCTAATAGCATTACAGGAAACAAGATGGCCTAGTGAAAGATACATAACAAAAGGAAATATGAGTTTCATGCATGAAGGAATTATAAATAACAAACATCAAAATGGAGTAAAATTCCTAAAACATAAAAGAACGATGCTATGGGTTAAGAAATACAGGGTGGTTAATGATCGGATATGCTAAATATAAATTGATATGATGCACACACACTCAGCAATAATATGCGAATATGCACACACAGATAACAGACATGACAATACAAAATATAATTTTTACAAATTAAACCACATGTATGAATCCCTTCCAAAATATTGCACCAAAATAATAGTAGTAGACCTAAATGCTTAAGTAGGACGAGAAGTAGAATATAAGCAAACGGTAGGGAGCCATAGTCTACATAGGAACACACATGGAAACAGTGGTAGGTTAATCAATTTCGCAAAAGGTAAGAATACGGTGATTAGTAGCACAAGACCACTAAAGTAAGTTAAGAGTAAATAATTAATTAAGACCAGGCAGATCCCTGGACAACCCCTGGTCCAAGGAAACGGAAAATCGTCTCAAAACGTATTGTCGTCAAAACATTCTCCTGACGTGTAAAGCCACGAAAAAATAACATCATAGATACTACGACTTGCTGACATGGCCAAACATTCTTCATCTACCTACAATAGAGACGTAAAATCATCGTTTTCATTATTGATCATTAGCAGTATTATTGTATTATATATGACTAGAGTACATATCCGGTCGGAGTTGTCAATGTCGTCCGGTACTTCGCTAATTTTGAGCGCGGAATTGTCATCATCGAGCGTCTCATCGGACGTTATACGTGATAACTGTCGACTTGTTTCTAACAAGCTGACAGACTGGAACGCGCTTATGGTTGGGAAACTTTCAGTCAACTATAAAACAAAAACTTTGGATGCTTTTTCACAAAAATACTTAATATGTAATTTAATATANGTTCAACATCATTCAAAAGATTCCACAACTCCAGGGTCGCGCATCTTGGTGTGCATACGTCTATTGTATTACATATGACTGGAGTACATCTCCGGTCGTAGTTGTCAATATCGTCCGGTACTTTGCTAATTTTGAGCGCGGAATCGTCTTCATCGAGCGTCTCATCGGACGTTATACGTGATAACTGTCTACTTGTTTCTAATAAGCTGACAGACTGGAAAGCGCTTATGGTTGGAAAAAATTCAGTGAACTATAAAACAAAAATTTTTGGATGCTTTTTCACAAAAATACTTAAAATGTAATGTAATATATATTATAGCTCGTCTACAATTAAACACGATTACTGATAGAATGTACTTTGCATGATAACACACCGACAATTTTTTGTTTGCTTATTAAAACTTTTATCGTTCCTGCGTATTATTATATCAAAATTTTAACACTTGTTTGCTTATTAAAACTTTTATCGTTCCTGCGTATTATTATATCAAAATTTTAACACAACTTATATCAAATCAAACACGATTACTGATAGAATATCCTTTGCATGATAACACACCGGAATTTTTTGTATGCTCATTAAAAGTTTTATCGTTCCTGCGTATTAATATATCAAAATTCCAACACAACTAAAATTTTCTCCCCATGTCACCATGATTTAAAATTTGTTTTTTAAACGCCGATTTTTGGATTGTGTCGTTGTTGCGGTAAAGACCCAATAAGAGCTTAATCGAATTACTTACGTCTATGGAAATTGAGTCTAATTCGGGATGAATTGACATTTGTTCAATATCATTCAAAAGATTCCACAACTCCAGGGTCGCGCATCTTGGTGTGCATACGTCCATTGTATTACATATGACTGGAGTACATCTCCGGTCGTAGTTGTCAATATCATCCGGTACTTCGCTAATTTTATCATCCGGATAAAACAAAAATTTTGGATGCTTTTTCACAAAAATACTTAAAATCTAATGTAATATATATTATAGCTCGTCTACAATCAAACACGATTACTGATAGAATATCCTTTGCATGATAACACACCGGAATTTTTTGTATGCTCATTAAAAGTTTTATCGTTCCTGCGTATTAATATATCAAAATTCCAACACAACTAAAATTTTCTCCCTTTGTCGCCATGGTTTAAAATTTTTTTTTGTAAACGCCGATTTTTAGATTGAGTCGTTGTTGCGGTAAAGACCCAATAAGAGCTTAATCGAATTACTTACGTCTATGGAAATTGAGTCTAATTCGGGTTGAATTGACATTTGTACAACATCATTCAAAAGATTCCACAACTCCAGGGTCGCGCATCTTGGTGTGCATACGTCTATTGTATTACATATGACTGGAGTACATCTCCGGTCGTAGTTGTCAATATGGTCCGGTACTTCGCTAATTTTGAGCGCGGAATCGTCTTCATCGAGCGTCTCATCGGACGTTATACGTGATAACTGTCGACTTGTTTCTAATAAGCTGACAGACTGGAAAGCGCTTATGGTTGGGAAACATTCAGTGAACTATAAAACAAAAATTTTGGATGCTTTTTCACAAAAATACTTAAAATCTAATGTAATATATATTATAGCTCGTCTACAATCAAACACGATTACTGATAGAATATCCTTTGCATGATAACACACCGGAATTTTTTGTATGCTCATTAAAAGTTTTATCGTTCCTGCGTATTAATATATCAAAATTCCAACACAACTAAAATTTTCTCCCTTTGTCGCCATGGTTTAAAATTTTTTTTTGTAAACGCCGATTTTTAGATTGAGTCGTTGTTGCGGTAAAGACCCAATAAGAGCTTAATCGAATTACTTACGTCTATGGAAATTGAGTCTAATTCGGGTTGAATTGACATTTGTACAACATCATTCAAAAGATTCCACAACTCCAGGGTCGCGCATCTTGGTGTGCATACGTCTATTGTATTATATATGACTGGAGTACATATCCGGTCAGAGTTGTCAATGTCGTCCGGTACTTCGCTAATTTTGAGCGCGGAATCGTCTTCATCGAGCGTCTCATCGGACGTTATACGTGATAACTGTCGACTTGTTTCTAATAAGCTGACAGACTGGAAAGCGCTTATGGTTGGGAAACATTCAGTGAACTATAAAACAAAAATTTTGGATGCTTTTTCACAAAAATACTTAAAATCTAATGTAATATATATTATAGCTCGTCTACAATCAAACACGATTACTGATAGAATATCCTTTGCATGATAACACACCGGAATTTTTTGTATGCTCATTAAAAGTTTTATCGTTCCTGCGTATTAATATATCAAAATTCCAACACAACTAAAATTTTCTCCCTTTGTCGCCATGGTTTAAAATTTTTTTTTGTAAACGCCGATTTTTAGATTGAGTCGTTGTTGCGGTAAAGACCCAATAAGAGCTTAATCGAATTACTTACGTCTATGGAAATTGAGTTTAATTCGGGTTGAATTGACCTTTGGTCATCATAATTCAAAAGATTCCACAACTCCAGGGTCGCGCATCTAGGTGTGCATACGTCTATTGTATTATATATGACTGGAGTACATCTCCGGTCGTAGTTGTCAATATGGTCCGGTACTTCGCTAATTTTGAGCGCGGAATCGTCTTCATCGAGCGTCTCATCGGACGTTATACGTGATAACTGTCGACTTGTTTCTAATAAGCTGACAGACTGGAAAGCGCTTATGGTTGGGAAACATTCAGTGAACTATAAAACAAAAATTTTGGATGCTTTTTCACAAAAATACTTAAAATCTAATGTAATATATATTATAGCTCGTCTACAATTAAACTCGATTACTGATAGAATGTACTTTGCATGATAACACACCGACAATTTTTTGTTTGCTTATTAAAACTTTTATCGTTCCTGCGTATTAATATATCAAAATTTCAACACAACTAAAATTTTCTCCCTTTGTCGCCATGGTTTAAAATTTTTTTTTGTAAACCAGGGTCGCGCATCTTGGTGTGCATACGTCTATTGTATTATATATGACTGGAGTACATATCCGGTCAGAGTTGTCAATGTCGTCCGGTACTTCGCTAATTTTGAGCGCGGAATCGTCTTCATCGAGCGTCTCATCGGACGTTATACGTGATAACTGTCGACTTGTTTCTAATAAGCTGACAGACTGGAAAGCGCTTATGGTTGGGAAACATTCAGTGAACTATAAAACAAAAATTTTGGATGCTTTTTCACAAAAATACTTAAAATCTAATGTAATATATATTATAGCTCGTCTACAATCAAACACGATTACTGATAGAATATCCTTTGCATGATAACACACCGGAATTTTTTGTATGCTCATTAAAAGTTTTATCGTTCCTGCGTATTAATATATCAAAATTCCAACACAAAGAAAGAAAAAAGAAAATAAGAAATTCTATTATACTCTTAAAATTATTACACGGCATTACGTTTGTAGGAGAATTATAATATTCAAGGGTAACATAATTCAAAATAGATACTTTAAATACTTTTATATAAAGATTTATTTAGATTTTAAAAAAGTTTTGTTAGATTTTTTTACAAACTCATACGTTTTGTTTTGATTTGCAAATCGTACCTCCTGTCAATAATTGACTAGAAATACAATAATTCCCACTAATAATGCACCCATTTTTCGTATTATACGAGTATGAATATTCTGCGTTAGTCCGTAGAAATTTTCGTGGTTAATTTCGACCGGAGTCGAAAGTGTCTTAATGATTTTCCTATAGTACATTCATTCCCTGCTGTGTGTATTTGAACGAGTAGTTTGGATTTTCTATGATTATATTGTATCATAAGTTTCAGAATTTCGAAAGCATAAGTATTGTAGGATTTTGTGAGTGGTATGATTATTTTAAGAAATTCGTACCTCCAGTGGACATTTTTAGGATATATTCCTAGGATTTTGTTACTGGTGGTATGATTTACCTCGGTATTCTGTGACACTTTACGTAAATTTGTAAAAAATTATCGAAAAATACTTTTAAAATAGTCAAAAAATGTCGTTTAATAAAATTATATCCGTAAAAATGTTTCATGAAAGTTGAAAATCATTCGGAAAATGGAAAAATAACGACAATTTGAATAAAAAAGTTTTACTTATATGGTAATTTTTTTAGCTGACTGACGCACCAAAGCCGTTAATAAAGTTAAGTTATTGGCGTTATCGAAATCACAAATAGATAGATTGAAAATCTGTAATATAAGTAGATTTGTATATCTGTATGAAAAGGAATGTGTGTCTTAAACCTTTTAATTTCAATTTGCGAACAGTTCATTTCTTTAGTACCTAAATTTAATTACCTAAATTTAAACTTGTGTAATGTATATATAATATGCTATTAAAACAAACAGTAACAATGATCGAAAACTCTAAAAATCGCTTAAAAAATGGTTAAACGGCGGAAAGTGCAACTAAATGCCAAATTAAAATGTCCCTTTCGACGTATCTATTACACGAAACGAATCATGAAAGTACTTGGAAAGTATTGTCTTCGAACACATAGGAAAAATAAATGTAATTCACATTGGAATGGGACTCTAGTTAGAATATATTGAACGTACCTTAGGGTCTGTAACGGCTCGTTCATCGACACACATCCAGTCGGCACTGCTACTGCAAGCCAAATCTGGGTCGGTTTGTAAAATGCTGTTGTCAGCAGTATTGTCCTCCATCGTGTTAATCTGGTCAAACAATTCACTAAACGGCAGGTTCGCCCACGATGTCGATTCGAGTGACTCGTGATTGTCCGGCTCGTCGCCGGATATGTGTTTTCGCCTTTTTGCCTTTGACCGACGCCTTCGGACAGTTCCCGTGCCGCAGAAAATGCATGACAATCGTATGCGCCGAAACACCGAAGTCAAACAACCAGAACGTTTTACGTTCTTCCGGTCTTTCGGCCGCTCAACGCGTCTAGATAATCCGAAAGCGTTCAATAGGCCTGTCGCGGACACCAAACGAAAACGCCCGCCAAATATTCGGTTACACCAAGAAGCCGACGGTTTTTCGGACGGATTGAGACGCGTAGACGGGTTAACATCTCCGAAATCCATTTGTATAAGTTGTCAAGATCAAAAAATTATTTTACGCACAAAACAATTGTACTGTTATTATGAATTTAATAAACATGTCCAATGATTGTTGCGATACACGACAGCGGTCACCTAGGCAATTAAATCCGTTCTAAAATAATATAATAAATAATAATAATAATAATAAAAACAGCTGCGCCGTTTAGGCACTTTTACTTGTTCTGTATTCAAAATCCAAACGACGTTTGGACATTAAAATGAAAACAATACATACCTTTGTTAAAGAGATAGTAATAAAATATATAATTAATCGGTAAATACGTATATATTTTACAAATATACATAAAACAACTTATTTCAAATCATTTTTGTACAATAATCCAAAATAATATACCTATATTATACTCGTGTTAAATCAAATAATTAGTATATTATATATTATATATTTATAATAATTATATTGTATTTCCTTAATTTCGAATTCCCATAATTTGTAAACATTGAATACATGGTATGTCTCCTTTATTTTATAAGCATTCCGGTTGGCTACAATACGATTGAGAACGTTCGAAATGAAACAATGAATTAGCCGCTTACCCAAAAAAATAGTACTATTGAAAACGAAATTATGTGCAACGTTGCCAAACTATGTTCAGGTCAAAACTCATAAATAAATTATGAAAAACTTCTACAAAATTTATAATAAAACGGTATTTATGGGAATTCAAAACAATTTAATTTCCACCACGTTCGGAGGATATAAGTCTTAGTTATTTTCCATTTTATTTAAGTATAAACGTAAGATATTTCGCACATGAAACGCATAATACGGAAAAACACATTCTGAGTAATGCACTAATGCGTATATTTTGATTATTCGTTTTAAACAATTCGTTATCGTTGTATCTATATAGATTATCGTTATTGGTGGATTCAGTAATATACCATCTCTAATAGCAATAGGTAATCATTTAACTCGATTACGGTACAAGAAATATATTAAATCGAAATATATATATTTTTGATTACTTAATGATTGGAATTTTCAGATTATTACATATTTTGCAACGTTGCATGGAATTATAAAAACCGATCGTTCTCAATCGTAATAGTCAAAAGGGTCTAAAAAAAGTAGCAACGATAATGACCGTTCTCAATAATTGTATCTCTGCCTTCCAGTTATCAGTTATATATTTAGTTTTAAGTACAGACTCTTTTCCAGGGGCATCGTGTACAGGGAGGCTCTGGAGCTACTACCCCCTATGAGCTTGATAAGACGGAATTCAGCCCCCCATAATTCTTATGTTATAAAAAAAATTCAATATTTGCAACGTACATCCTAAAAATAATAATTTTATTTATAACAAACTAATTGAGAAAGATAAAAAAATTTTTTTATGATATAGAAAGTAGAGAAAAAGTGTGGATTGTCTTGCGGATTCTTCATAATGCTATCAAATTTTAAAATTTACAAAACAATAAATAAATATATTTTAGTACTTTTTTTTAACGAATAATTTAAGGAAAATAAAAACAGGAAATATATGGTAAGATTTAGGTAAAACTGTACATGTGTTTGTAAAATAATGAGCCTACTATGATATTTTCAAAATTTGACGGCTCTTTAATAATGTAATTGAATATTAGTATATTATATTAATATAGTAAAATTAATTAAATTAGTAAACTAAATTGTATTCATCGCGATATCAACGTGGATATCAATGATGTTATAGATGAACTTGCTAAAACATCAAAACGAAAAATGAATACACATTCATAATTTTCAAAAAAGATAAATATTTCAACTTTTTTTTATAATTAGCGCTGTAAAATAGTAATAAAATGTTTAATATATATTTAAACACACACAAAATTCAAAACAATTCTATTGGTTATAGTTTTTCAACCCCCTCTCCTAAAAAAAAAAAAAAAAATTCTAGATACGCCACAGCAATATTGTACTTTTTTCCTTTGGTTTTCGCATATTTTTCACCGTTTATTGGGAAAATCAAAAAATCACCTCACTAGAGTACCACCACAGTCGCATTTATTTTCGTTGCAAACCGGACCAAAATTACTGGTAGAAAAGTTGTCCGTAGGAAAAAAAAAAAAAATAATACATTTTAAAACCAATACGTTTCTCGCTCCACTCAAAATCTAATATCGGATATGCCAAACGAAAAATGTTTAGTGGACTTATTAGTAAATTAATGTTAATATTAAAATGCATTGATTAATAGTTTTTACGTTCATGTACTTGAACAAGTTAACAACAATTACGAGTTCACAATGTTGTAGAAGTGTGGCGTACTCCGGTCGATAACAACCTCACCCACTAGTGGAAAAATATCGTTGGCCGTCGATAATATTTTAATATTGTTCAACGATCGACGACGAGACTCGACACCGATGTAACCGCTAAAAGTTCGATTCAATCCGAACGGTACATAACCGTGCCATTTTCAATCCGAAATACAAAAATGACCGCGAAACCGACCGTGCAACGTTGCCGCGTTCTTATCGGTACGTTCTCGTTTATCAATAAAATTACGTTTATAGTAGTTTCATACCAGTAACCGAAAACCCCGACTGGTCTGAAATCTGAATGTTTGATAAAAATTAAGGCGTGTACCTACCTACTACAATAATAACACCAGTCTAGTGCTTAATAAAATAATTGCAATTTGTATTTACTAGTGGCCTAAATATTCAAAATCACCCAGTCGATCTTAGTTTATCTCTGTTTTCTTCGTCTGTCACAAGTAAGTCAGTTAAATCAATCGACAATTGCGTACCGATTTTGATGGGTTCGTCAAATGTATCGATTGGATTTATTACGTTTTGCTCGAGTTGTATTTCATTAACGTCGGGGATTCAGTAGGGATTTTGGGGCGTGTACGGCGATTTCTCGACTGACGCGTCAGTTTTTCTATTTTACAGATCGAGAAAAATGGTGGACACTGGCTGCTTTTTCAACATTGACGGCGGATACTTGGAGGGATTGTGCCGCGGCTTCAAGTGCGGCATACTCAGACACGCAGACTACCTGAACCTCGAACAATGCGAGACCTTGGACGATCTTAAATTGCACTTGCAATCGACGGACTACGGTCAGTTTTTGGCCAACGAACCCAGCCCTCTGGCCGTGTCCGTCATCGACGACAAGTTGCGCGAGAAGCTCGTCATCGAGTTTCAACACATGCGCAATCACGCCGTGGAGCCGCTCAGCACGTTCCTCGACTACATCACTTACAGCTACATGATCGACAACATTATTCTGTTGATCACCGGTACTCTGCACCAGCGTCCGATTTCCGAGTTGATACCGAAATGCCATCCTCTTGGCAGTTTCGAGCAAATGGAGGCCATACACGTAGCCGCCACTCCGGCCGAACTCTATAACGCCGTACTGGTCGACACGCCCCTGGCTCCGTTCTTCGTGGACTGCATTAGCGAACAGGATCTTGACGAAATGAACATTGAAATCATCCGTAACACGTTGTACAAGGCTTACTTGGAATCTTTTTACGATTTTTGTAAGAAATTAGGAGGCATAACTGCCGACACTATGTGCGAAATACTGTCGTTCGAGGCCGACAGACGCGCGATCAACATTACGATTAATTCATTCGGCACGGAACTGACCAAGGACGATCGAGCCAAGTTGTATCCGAGATGTGGTAAACTCTATCCAGACGGATTGGCCGCTTTGGCTAGGGCCGACGACTACGATCAGGTTACTTTTAAAACGAATACAATCAAAACGAATAGTTCTTAAAACAATTTAATATTCATTACAGGTGAAAGCTGTGGCCGAGTATTTCGCCGAATACAGCGCTTTGTTCGATGGCGCTGGTACAAATCCTGGTGAAAAAACCCTGGAGGACCGGTTCTTCGAACATGAAGTCAAATTGAACGTCAACGCTTTCATGCGTCAATTCCACTATGGTGTTTTCTTCTCGTATCTGAAACTCAAAGAACAAGAATGCAGAAATGTTGTTTGGATTTCAGAATGTGTTTCTCAAAAGCACCGGGCTCGCATGGACAACTACATTCCCATCTTCAAGTAATTTAATAAACCGATGTTTTCGATGTACACACGCATAATATATATTAATATCATCAATTTAACTTTATAAATACCCTGTGTATTGCAGTTTTGAGATATAATTAGATTGTTCAATAGGTTGCGTAGTATATTCATTGTTTTATTTATCATTCCAACTGTTTAATTTTATGTATGAAGTATTGTTGATAGGTTGTCGATATATATTATTGTTTTTGTTTTTATTAACTCTGTAAGTGTCAAAAAAAAAAAAAAAAAAAATGATTATAAATTATAATTGAATTATTCTATAAAAAAAATTATCACTAAAAGTTGATGATTATAGTTATGGTTTCATTTTAGAAATTGATTTCATGCAGAGAACAATTATTTAATCACATATTAAGCAAAATTGACTGTATTAATTTTGTTCGAACAGTTCATAAACATATTGTATTTAAATACAGTCTTAATGATGTTTATCATGAAAGAATAAAATTAATTTTGAAATTACCAGTTATTTTTGTATTAATTACCTATTTATTTTGTAATAAACATTGTAGTTTTGAAAAAAAAAATAATGGTCTAAGGTTGTTATTATTTTGATATTTGAATTTGGAATGTTTAATGTCAAAACCATAGAAAAGAAAATTGAATTTGTATGCGCAATGCTGTTATCTAAAGGTATTATGACCACGATTGTAAAAGAACTAATTGTGATTATGATACAATATTATTAAATAACGGACTATAAACGTAGTAGAGATTTGTAAATGGATAAAGAATACATGTTGACATACCATGGATAGGCTACTGTTGTAAGTAGTATATTATATAGGGTAAATTAATTTATATCTGTATGCATACAGAAAAACAAACATACACATAGTAAAATAAATACATTCTTTACTACAATCAGGATTTTAAAACAAATAGTAATTAAATATTGTAATAGCGTTTTTCTACAGAAACTCTTTTTATAGGTAACTCATTAAAAATAATTTTACATAACTCAGAATAATATAAATCATACTTTTTTTTATTAAGTTTTTAAATTGGATTAAAAAAGAACATATAGGACATGATTTTGTTTAATAATAATTGTACATTTGTAAATAAGATAACATAAGAATTAACTTATACTTATAAAAAAAAAAAAAAAATACTACATACAAATGTGTATACAGACTTTTATAAATGTCAATAATTTAATAATTGAATTAAAATTAATTATATTCAATAAAATGAGTTATTAAAATAATACATTGAGTAAACTATTCAATAGTTTTGGTTAAAAAAAAAATGACTGAAGTTATACATTTTTTAAATATATTTCTATCATGTATTATGTATATCTGTGTGAAAATATACCACTTATTAGGGTATTTCTTTAAAAAAAAAATCAATAAACTAATTACTTATAATAATTAACTAATTTAATTACTGGTCAATTTCTACAAATAATAGTAATAATACATTTGATTAGTGAAAAAATCATTCTACAATGTTACATACTGTGCATTAAATAATAATAAAACCGAATTAAAAAATTATATTAATGGTCGATTGGTTATAAGTTGTGCGTATTTAACTAACTGTGCAGAAATTACATAAGAGGAGGGCTTATAAAAATAACAAAAACAAAATTATTATTGTCTTTAAAAAATAAAACACAATACCATATTATTCACATACAAGTGAAAACATTAAAATATTAGTGTACAATTACATAAAAATAACCAATATTTTATAACAACACTGATGTTTCCATAGGTAATGGCAGTTGGTCTTCCAGTAGTCAAAAATCCTAGTAATTTAGTAAGTACAACAAACATCGGTCTTTTGTTGCTAACCCAAATATAATAAGCAAAATGTCAAATTATTGGGGTCGCTCATGAATATTCAGAAATTGTAAACACCATTCAATGTCTTCGCTGTCATCAACTAAATACTGCAATCTATTTGAGAGGGGTAAATCAAAAATAAAATTTAAAAATATCATTATCTAATCATAATCAAACTTACTGATTTTTATAATTGTCACACATTTGTTGATCCATAGTATTCTTCAAATGTTTTAGAGCAGTCATACACTGTGCTGATAGGGATTTAAAACATTGTCTTCGGGCTGCATTATGAGCAGGAGTATCCCAAATTGGGGTATTGCGAACATGTTTCCACGCCATGAATACATAGTCTACAACTACTGGCCATTGGTTGCTTTCAACTAAACGTCTGCCTTGGTCAACCACACATTTCTAAAAAACATCATCACACATTAAAATACTGTTACATTTAAACTTAAACCAAAAACGACCAAACTTACCTTAAAAGCTAATACATGGGTCGATACCCTATTATAAGCAGTAGTATCAGTTTTTGAAATCAATCGGCTACTTGGCAAAGCTTTGTATATGTTACGCCGTAAATAATAAATGCGTTCTTCTAGAGGTTTTAAATCAGCTTTGGGAAAATTAGACCTTATCTCCTATAGAATTTATATTAAAATCAAAAATTCATTCAACTATAAATAACAAAATGACCTACTTTTTCGATACCTGGATGTTTGAAGACTATTTGTCCGATTATAGAAATAAGTTGATCTGAAGATAATGCTTTCATTGCTGATAACAGACAATTATCTTCTGGAAGTTCAATCGCCACATCAGTGCGTATTTTTTTGTAATTAGGAGAGCCCTAAAAACCAAAACTGTCAAGGTTACCTAATATGTTTTGGAAAATTATATTCAAACATTTTTTTTTTTTTACATACAGTTTTGTATTTATCCGGGGATGATAATTCCAATGGATCATTTAAGAGTAATCTTTTACGTGGAGTACTCCTCAAAACAATTGAACTTTTATTGTAATTGGAACATGAACCAGATTTGGTCGGTGTTTCTTGATTGTTCTAAAAGATATTTATACATTTAAAGTTCAAACACATAAAACTTATTTAAACAAATAAAGTAGGTACTTGTTTTATGGCATCAATATCAGGACTAAAAGTGACTGGTATTTTGCGGCGACCACGCTGTTGTATAACTAATTCATCTGGACTAGGTGATGGTGTCATCATAGATGTTGGCAAGTTATTTATAGTTGTATTCATTATATTAAGAATTTGGTCAGTTCGCCCTAAACCTATTAATAATAAAATGCAGTTAAATTACATATTGGTTATTTTAATAAATTTTTGATAAATTTAACTTGATTAGTATTTAATATTACCATTATTTGGGTCTGTCATCGTCAATCGTCCTAGTCTTGTTGGTATCTCAGCTAGAACACTTCTAGTCATCATGCGAGTTGGTTCTGGATTAAATGGAGGTGTTTCCATTTTGATGTGTTCAATATAATCAGTGTTTATAAGGATTCTCTATAAAACAGATTTTTTTTTTTTTAATTTGAAGTATAAATTTAGGAAATTAATTAGTCTAAGTTGGGATTATTATTAAAAGTAGCATTGTCCTAATTTTTTTCACCCTCATAATTATGAGTAAAACCTTTATTAATTTATAATTGAAATCAAAAATAATAGTTAGTAGATTATAACAAGCTATTTTTTGGAAGAAAAAATTTAGTTTCAAAAATTCCCAAAATTTGAACACAGGTAAAATAACTAAAATTCGAATTCAGTTAATAATATGTAAGCAATTTTTTTTGTATTTTGTATCAGATGCTAAAAAATATGTAATTAAAAACAATACAACTTTTTTAAAAATATGCACAATAAATTGAAAAATCTAAAAATATACAAAGTATAATGTACATGTTTTGGACACAAATTTCTATTGAAAACATTCGATAGGACAATTTAAAAAAAAATTTTTTAAAATAAAAGTTTGGAATTTAATATTGTTTTTATTCACTGTATATACCTAATAGCCTAACAAAACGATTGAATAAATTAAATTTATTATGGGTAATTTTCTTATTAAAATAATATTCATGAGGAGATGGTTCAAAATATATTTTATTTTAACTTTCTAAAATATATATATAATAATATGACAGCACAATAATTCAGCTTATCTTAATGGAATATAAGTAAGTAGAAACAAATTACAATTGTTTTAATTTGAAAAAATAAATAATATAGGTAGGTAACTTATCTAAAATCTATTAAGCATGGAAATTATGAATTATGCTATTTCTGTGACAAAACTTTACCAATGAATAATCAAAAACATTAAAATAAAAATGGGTAGTACCAGTTGAATTGAATTATTCTAATTCTGTACCAATATACCCAATACTTATCCATCTGATAAAAATATAAAATTGTATACAAATATTTTAGGATACTTTTGTATTGATTTAGCAAAACAATCACATGTACAGAATACCATTCAAAAAGGAAAAGAAAACTATTAAATAAACAAGTACTTAAAACCAAAACTGAATTAAATATCCCACCAAACAATTAAAAATAACAAAAATTCTCTAGTAAATAAATCCTAGAATTATTTAAAATTGTTCATCAAATAAGAAATAGTTCATCACCACTTTTAATGAAACTAATGTAATATGTAAAAATCTATACAATATTTATTACATATTTATACATTAAGCACATTTTATTATCTGAGGGTGTAATTAATACAACAAAAACTGAAGGAAAATATTCAGTAAACATTTTGAAAAACTCAAAAATTATAGACAGTTATTGAAGTAGATATTTGTAAAAAATTATAAACAAAAGAACAAAAAAATTTTCACTTAAAAATAAGTTTACATCAGGTTTATGTTTTAGAAAGTCATATAATTTCAATACCTAATTTCAAATGGTGGTAATTGAATTTGTAAAGTAGGTTACTTACTTATTTTTAGTTAAGGTATCAGTTTAAAACATAACTTTTTTTATTTTTTCCTATTGCTTATTTCATATTTCAGAGATACATGTAATATGACATAATGATCTTTTTTTCCCTGAAAATATTGGTCAAAAAAACCTGATATATGACATTGATTTATGCTATTATTTGCCACTAGATACATATTTTTAAAGCATTTAATTCAAACACAAACTTGAAATTTGTTTGTATAGGGGAGAGGGAGGAAGGGAGTGCAAATAATTTTTATCAATGATATATTGTATAAATTTGACAATAATACTTGAAAAAAACATACTGTGCTAAGGAGTTCGGAAGGGAAAAATGACTCTATTTCCCCTCCTAGATAGAGAGGAAATATATATATATATATATTAATAACTAGAATACACGATTTAGGTATACATAGGTAAAATATAGGTATTAAAAAATGTGCTTTTCCTTGAATATTTGTGTGTAAATTAATTTTAACATATGAGATACGTATCATATAGTGAAAAATAATAAAATTTCATGTACCTATCCTTATATGACACTTCTGAACTTTTTCAGATACAAAACTTGTAAGTGCTAAAATTTGTCAATACTTTCACAGTTTCACCCTTAAAAAAGAGCTGATACTGGGGTTGGTAGCAGTCACTGGTATAGGTGAAAAGTTGGGAAGATAGGATACATAAGGTCACTTAATTAATATCTGTAAGAAATTATAAACCATTGCTTGACAAAAGACGATTCCAAGCGCAGTTTGGTAATACATAATTTCAAGTGCCATATTTTTTTTTGCGGTTTTCGTATAAATTTGATTTCAAAACCCTTACATAAAAAAGTCATCCGATAATTTTTGGAAATTTTACCACGTCTAAGTAAATCCAATATAAGTATTATTACTAAGTTTCAAGTCTCTACTTGTATTTATAACCGAATTACAGCAAAAAAAACTCCCAAAAATTAAAATTACTTAAAAGCTCAAAAGTTTTGGCGATAATACTGTAGGGAAGTAAATCAAAAATACAACAAAAAAAGTGTTTTATAATTTTTTGATTAAATAATTTTTTCTGGTAGAAAATGTTGTGAGTGTTTTTATAAAATAATGAAATTGTATGTTTTCCCAAGTTTTATCCTACTTAAGTGATTTTATTTAAAAAATGGGATTGAAAATCAACAAATGACTTCTCTAAAGTACCATTTATACAACTTGAGCTTTCAGAAAAATTGCTACACGTAAAAATCGGAGTAAGTTAATTGAGAAAAACGTGTCTACAGACTAGAATGAAGAAAAAAAATTAAAACAGCATTGTAAAACCAATAGCTTCCTCACTAGGTTCGGAATCAAAAATACAGTTAGTTCTATACAGACATACATATTAAGAACCAGATCAACTGTATAATATTACTCAATATTATTTCAGAACATAGAATTGTATTACACAAGATAATAAAATGGTTAGAAAAAATTAAAAATTAATTTTTTAATTAGTCAAATTCTTTAGAAAATATAAGTATAGGCACTAAGTAGTACTATCAAGTATTTGATATTAGTTATTAGTAAAGTCCGGAATTATATTCTTTTAGAATCCACAAAGAGATGCTTAAAAACACCAAAAAAGCCCTGAAAGAGAAACATTTAAAAAAAGTAAAAAGTCCCCCTTTCTAATAGCTCTAAGTTATTGAATTTCCTAACTCTACAAAACTGACTAAAATAATTAATTTTAAATAAAATCGTGTGTATATAAAAAATATATACTTTGTCGTGTTAGAAAATTGTATTTATAAATTAAATCCGTTAGAGGGGGGGACCCCTCTAAATCCCTCTATTATTTTTGAGTTTTAATATATTTGTTTAGTGATTTTTTTTCCATGGCTTTTTGTCGTCTTCAAGTGCTTTTTCGTGGATTTTAAGAACATATAAATCATTTGCTTTTGTTATTAGTCATCTTAAAATTACTATCAGTATAATCTTTAGATAAATAGGAAAACCCGTTTTTTTTTTTTTTTTTTTTAGTATTTTTGAATATAGAAAAAAATCTAAAACAAAAAAAACAAAACGGTTTGAGAGTACGTTTTATAGTCATCGCATTCAACACCGTCAACTTTGGCACCAAATTGCAATGACAATTATTAATATTCAATGATTAGGTATTCAAAATAGATAATGTCTTAGATATTTTTAAGTCACTGCCTACCCACAACAATACAATACTATCATAGTAGTCCATATGGTTTAACCATAATAAAACGAATTGTACACATCGTGCTTTTGTCAGATGATTTATTGGTTGTTTTTTTTTTTTTTTTTTTAATTTTCAATTGACCCAAATTAATATAACATGCATCGCGGCAATCGGTACGTACGATAATAATACGAATGACGAGTGTTGAGCGACAACAATCGCGTTGATCGTTACGCCTTGGGAGGAAAAAAACAAAAACACGACGCCGACGATTTAATTATAATAAATCGTACACCACAGCTGTGATAAAAATTGCAAAAAACGCGCGAACTAACACGTAGGTCCCGAATAATTTTTTTACAAAACCGAAAACGAGTCACGATGCGATAATCGCAATTAAATATAATAATAATTGGACGATATATTTTCGCGCTGAACGGCCAACCAAACGGGGACCTATTAGAAAACCGGACAACTAGTGAATACTTGCCGTCTGACCGACAATTTCAAAAAGACTCGCGACCGTTAACGTGGTTAAAACGCCGTCGACAAAACACACTAACCTTTAGACTTGTCAAGCGAAACAATATCGTCCCACGATGCCGGTATATATACTGTATGCGACAGCCGGGTATTAATTTTCTGCCAAATATCCGGCGGTAATTTTCTTTTAACGGGCACTGCGCCGTCGGTTAAAAATGTCGCCTTCGCCGTCGGATGGGCAAGACGCGGGGAGAAGCGGCAGCGGTACGATTGGTATGCAAGAACGATAACGACAAAACCTAATCGCCGTAACGTCGACGACAGACTACGGTTAAAAGGCGATGCTAACGACGCTATGCAATTCAAGTTTATTCGTTGGCGATGAGACATGGAAGTGGTGACGGCGGCGGTATTGACGACCGGTTCGGAAGGCCTTTGTCCGATAGCACAGGGATTTTAGCGGGAAAATCGCGCGGGCCGCGCCTCCCGCCACCGCGTTCTCCGTTGGCCGGTAGCAGTTACCGCCCAGTGGTTCCCAAACGACCGGTCCCGCCGAAATTCAAAAGCTCGCGAGCTCACACTTGACGTTATGCACAATTAGACATTGTTATTCTGTTAAAAATGAAAGGACTCTCCGTAAAAACAGTACGTTTGGTCATAATCGCATTTATAACTGATAAAAAATTTAATTGTATATTACAAACGGGCTCTGCAAACAACATTGTTGTTATAGGAATACCGAAATTTGTCAAATTTTGAATTTTGAACAATAAAACAATACTCCCCATAATAATTAATAATGTTTTCACAATCTACATAATATGCCACATGAAATTTACCAATACCGTAAAATGGGGCAACATAAATATTAAAATTTTTTTGTTTATTAACTGACAAAAAATGAAGCCTTATAAAAAGTGCTAACCAATTATAGCGCTATTCATAAGTATTCAAATAGAAATTAGTGCAAGATAATTAATTTTTTTAATTATTCAAGAAATTTTGATTTTAAAAAGTTACCAACTTTACTCTACAAATGGTGTAACATTGATAGGCCCTTTTGGGTAGTGTATAATGAATGACAATGGACATTAAGCCATCTATTTTTTCCCATATCAAAATTTATCAAACAATTTTTGAGTCATTAACATTTCTTTATACTGGGGTAACTTTGTTGATTAATCTGTAAATGTCTTATAATTCTGTTAATTTCTAAAATAAAAAAAAAATTTTAATCTTGGTTGTTATGTCAACAATTAATAATTAGTATTTCAAAATTATTAAAAACATAATTAATATTATTATTGTCGAGGTAATTAAGTATTCAAATTAAATAAATCTTCTTAAGTTAATTTATTCATTTTCACTATTGAAACTGATCATTTTGTTTTATTTTTTACGTATTCTTTTTATTACTAAACACATTATCAATTAAACATTTAGTTTATAAGTATTTTGATTCAAAATTAATCAAATCTATTTGGACATTTTTTTTATCGCCTAACAAATATCCATATTATAAACCTATAGCATTAGTACTATTGTATACCAAAACGACTTCACTCAGATTTCATCATATTACAGGTACTATTTTACGCATTTTTAAAACAAAACTAAATATCAATAAGGTTGCAATCAATGGAATGTTATAAAATCATAAATGAAGACAAATTTAAACAATAAATTAATAAGTTTTCTATACAATTCAATTTTTTCAGTTCATGCATTTGTTTATAATATTGGAGTTTAAAAAGTTAAATTTTTTTCTTAAACTTGGATTTAATGTGTTAATAGTGTTAAAAACACATTTCCGTTTAAATTGAATAATGTTTGATTAATAAGAAAAAAAAATATATAGTAATGTTAATAATTAAAAATTGCAATAACAAAAAAATTGCTATTCACTGTTCAATTGATTAATATATTTATGATAGGTTAGAACTATTTTTTTATTGAATGCAATTATATAATTTATATATTTCAAATAAAACATAAAACTACTAATAGGAGTTTATTCAAACAACTAAAAATGAAAACAAGTATTACATGTAATTATTATTGAAAATGTTTATAATGTTTGTGAAATCATGATATTACATCTTAAAAATTAAAAATGAACGATCAAACATACATCGCGTTAGACAATATTTATGAATGTGAGCATGTAAATTTAAAACAATAAAACGTTATCGATTATATTATAAATAAATATGGAATAGTAACATAGAGTAATACCTAAAAAGTGTAATAATAATTAAATAAGAAGTGTTCTATAAATTAAAATATAATTGTTGAGGATATTATTATATTATTGTAGTGTGTTCAAGACATAAAAAAATAAATTACAATAAATTACAAGATGAAAAAGTTCAGCAACATGTTTTTAAAGACCGATAATTTAGAAAGTAATAGAAATAAGAGTACTTCAACCTCCGAGTTTATATATATATATATATATATTATATACGTATATGCATATAATGTATATATAATAAATAAGTCTTAAAATAATGACTTGATATATATTGGTATATTTAATAAGTCAATATATCATAATAATTAAATTGTGACTATTTAATCGCCAGTAATATTTAGGATATTACTATATTTTCTAACATGCATTTTAGGTAGACAAATTACATGTCTACAGTATAACATAAAAATTATATAAATAAATCAAGCGTGTTATAGCTGCATTTTCAATTAGTTTCAGCCTTACTAATTGGCAAAATAATATAATTATTAATCATGTTCACTTGTTCTGACTTGCAATTTCTGCTTGTGACAATGTACAAGGCTTATCTTCATGAGCCATTGGTCTCCAAGCTTGATTGTGTAACGCATGTAAACCTAAGCTTAATTCTAAAAAAAAAAATTTAATTTTCATCAATCAATTACTTTAATTCATATGTTCAATATAAAGGTCTTTAATTTGTATTTTATAATTACCAGAAGAGGTAGACTTCTTTCTTTTGTGATCCTTTGAAGGATTAAGATGTGAAAATGGAGCTTCTAAGTCCATTTGAATAGTATTGCTAAAATATAAACATAGAAAGCTTTTAAAAAAATAAATAATAATTTATGTTTACTAATAATTAGGGCTCGTATTTATATTCTCTAAAAACCTTAGAAATATGCACTATAAAATAAGCATTTATGCTCTATTTTGTTGAAATATACCCATCAAAATAAAACATGCATTAAAAAAAATGTTTTATAATTTTTATTATTTCTATCTTTATTTTTAGAGTAGGTACAAATGATTGTAATGGTATTTTCAGTCTGAAAAGCAATATATAATTTTTTTTTTTTCAAATAAAAAATATGAGTACAACAAAAATTTGATTAAAAAAAAATTATTTTATTTTTATTATTTATATCATTATTTTTAAATTAATACAAATATTACATATTGTGCATTTAAAAACCATTTATAAATGTAATAAAAAATCGTAAAATACAGAAATATGCAGTACATGTCATAACATACATGTCGATACATGAAGTTTTTGCAAAATACCCATAATTACGTAGTACAATTATTTATATTTGACTACATAATTAATGCAAATATGCAATGATTATTATTTTATTTCTTACTAGCTTAATTACTTAGTGTTATATTTAAGAGTTTCCGATATATTATCCTACAGTAAAATTATTTTCTATTACATTAATAGAGGTCATTTTAATTTTTTAATTTTTAAATTTTCTATTTTCGGTTTTCATAATACTTGGGAAAAACTTATTATTTTCAATTTTGTTTTTTGTAGTTATTCAGTTAAAAATGTTTCATAAAGACTTAAAATTTGGACAGAAAACTTATATTAACCTTTTTAGACGTGATAAAATGATCATAACATTAGAGCTTTTTATACATTTTGATTTTACGAGTTTTTCATTTGGTATCATTTGAGCAAGAATGATCAAAAATTTAACATAAAGTTCAATATAACTTGTATTTTGTGGTAAAAATGAAAAATAAAATAAAATGTAGGTATTTTTTTTATTTTTAAAGTGATTTAAGATTAAATGTTATCAAAATTCATAAAAATAATTGCATTTTAATAAAAATGTATAACCAAACTAAACTCAGAATCGTTTTTCATTAGCAATGATCAATTGTTGCATAAAGATTTATATTAAATTCCCCTTTATATTCTACGTTCCCAACTTCTCATCTACAACAGTTGCCTATCCATTGTATGATTATGTCAGTCTTTTATCAAATGTAAAGTGTGCAAGGTTTCATCTAGATCGGAATAAAATTGTAGATTTATATAAAAAGCGAACATAAATTAAACTTGATTTTATATACCTACAAAATACATAGATAATTTTTCAATGATGAGTAATTTATAAATATATTTTTTATTTGACATGACCAAAGCTGAAGTCCCCTTATCTCCTTCCCCCCCTGGGCACACTACTGTACTGTTGTGCCTTCATATTGGCAACGTACTTATGATATCTATTAATAATAAATAATTTTGAATTATAGGATATTATTGAAAGATACAATATACACTAAATGATTTTAGTTGAATATGTATAGCCGATGCTCAATTTCTAAAATTATTAAAATAGTTATGTTATGTTGTAAGAGTTATAGTTAGTTTTTAAGATTTTTTATAAAATATTACTTTTGGTGATTTATGTTGGCATATTTTTTATAATGGTGAAAAATTTGTCAATTTTTATAGTTAAAGTGGTGTGTTATCATAAACGCATTACAAAAAAAAAGAATTCTTACACTGGAGTATGTGGTTCTATAAAACATAAAACATAAAACTAATAACTATAAACAATTTTTTGATATAAAATATGAATGAATTTAAAGTGGTAGATATGATTTTTAATGTAGATAGAATATGACAACTAAAAAGTTTGTGTAGATAGCATACTGCACCTCTACTATTTATTGCATGCAGTATATAATAAAATATAAATAAACTTACTCTGTTTTAGTTAAAGTAACTCCTTTTTTCGGCGAGTCGTTAAGTTGCATATGAAGAGAATACATTTCTGCTAAATGTGTTAGTTGGTCTTGTTCGTTTTTTGGCATCGGATGTAGTCTGAAAATAAATCATTCTTAAATTGAGTTTTAACTAATTATATGCGAGTAATAATACCTTAATTCAGATTGTGCTGGATCGCGTAAAAAACGTGAAACTTTTTCATTAGCTGAGGTCAATACAGAAAAACTAGGTTTAACCGATCGAACTCTGCGTAAACCTCCACGTATTTCTCTATCATTAGCCTGATAATTTAAAGTGTATTTTAAACTAAAATACTAATTATTAAAATATTGTTAAATTATACTTTTCTACTAGACCACAATGGCATACGACCAGGTCCTCTTCCTTCAGTTAAGACATTATTTTGTAAACTAACGGACTGTAACAATCTCTGGCAATCAAGTTTAAGTGGTTCGGTATCATCATCAGTCACACCACCAGCTCCACATCCATTTCCAACCCAATCACTCTGTTCATCATCTCCTAAAATATTATATATATATTTTTTAATATTATTTAACAATGTCTATATTTTATTTTACCTTCTCTTCCTTCGTCGTTAGTAAATATACCAGCTTCACTTTCTGAAGAACTAATACTACTTGAACTACTAGCAACATCTATATCCATTGACTTTGCATTTGAAGTACCCTGGTGGCAGCTACCAGCAATTGTTTCGCGGTTACTACGTTTTCTTTTACCAATGGCCAAAATTAAAGATCCACAATTTCTAAACAAAAACAAAAATAAAAATAAAATACCAGTACAATTTAATACATATTTGAAATCAACCCACTGACAAAAATTGATTAGCAAGATAATTAAATTAAAATAATACCTAGGCATACTGGCCGAATGGCGTGTGTTTCTTCTCTTCTCACTGTTACTGTATGAACAACTACTAGACATCTGAGATGCAAACTTCACATCTGGATCAACAATCATTTTTTTGAATTTTCGTTTTCTGTGAATTTTTTTTTTTCAAATACATATTATTATAATAATTAAAGCCCTCCCTATTAATTTGCATTTAACCTTCTAGTGAATGGTCTTCCAGGGGTGAAGTTTTCATTGACTGAATCAGATTCCAAATTCATTAGGTGTTTTGATAGTAAAGCGAACGGAATTGGTTGTTGAGCACCACTTATATCATCTGAATCACTCTATTTAAAATAATAATATTAGGTACTTCTCTAATAAAATGTTTCATATTTGTAAACAAATTCAAACACAATTTTCTCACATGATAAATACTAGAAGCTCCTACATCTTTAGAATTACTACTCGAATCATCACTTTGAGCTTTATTGCAAGGATAAGCTAAATCATAAATGAAAGTTATGAATAATTTGGTGAAACATTTTTAAAAATTATAAAAAAAAAAATACAACATACCAACGCTACTGGCAGATCGCGTACGTCGTCTGAACCCGAATGGTCGAATGAATTTGTTTACTTTATCCATTCTAAACTGAATAAAATAAAAAAAAAAAATGTTTAAAAAATATATTATTTCAGGCTTAAGTTATAATTGCAATACATAGATACATTACAATAATTTTAGTTATAAAATAATGTTCTATGAGGACATATTTGATTAAAAGTAAATCAATGAAGGTTCTCGCTTAATTCTAATATTTGATTTGATAGATAAACAATATAATAAAAATATACATAAAATATTATTAATGATTAAAAAAAAAAAATACTATTAAATACAGCTTATCATTTGATTGTTAAATTAAGGCCTTTTAATTCTTCTACTACAAATAGATAAATTAGCTATATACAAATATTTCTGTTATTGGTACCAATTTGTAACTTAATCAGTAAAATAATTAATATTATGGAACAAGGTCTTTTACTAAAGTAAATATATAGGTAGGTACTTTACTTATAAGTTTCATCTGATATGGATTGCCAAATTAGGCTTTATCATAAAATTAAAAAAAAAAAAACAACTGGAGTTTGAAATAGTTATAAATTTACATAAACAATTAGATTAATACTGTACATTTTGAAAACAGAACAAATTTATATGTATAAAAACCTTGATTTATAATCATAGCTAATCTGACTACTTTATATTGTTTAGTGTACACATTGCACATAAAACAAATTTATTATGAAATATATATTAGGTATTTAAATATGTATTTTAAGTGGTACCAAATTATCCATGATATTATTTACATTCTTATACAAACAATGAAAAATACAGGTTTCAAAGTTATATAAAATGGAAATATTCTGTTGAAACTGGAGATAAACTGAATATTTTTAATGTATCCAATTTTAAAGAAAACACAATATTATCACTAAAGACAATGTAACCAATTAATATCAATGCAAAAATAACAAACAAAAGCTAGCTATACTTTTTACAAATAAAAATAAAATCTACATTAAGTAGGTAGTGATGTACAGCAATGAAATAGTAATGTTCACACAGTTTTCAGTTCCAATAAAAAAAAAAATATATTTATACCAACAAAACCAATAACCACATATAATCGTAAATTCCAATAAAAAAATCAATAACAGAGTTTATTGTGAGGTATATTTTACAGAGGTTTAAAATAATTAATGTTGTCATTAGTTTTTTTGTTAATACCTGAGAGTTCAAAAGTTCAAAACCTTGTATGGCTTTGACTTAAAAACATTTTCTTGATTGAGGTCTATTATTGAGAGATTGTTCAATATCAAGTAGCAAAGAAATTTAAAAAATGTTTAACTTAACTCAGGTAGGAACAGCATTGGCAATTGAGTAAATGATAGATTAATATATTTATATTGAATCAATAGGTACTAGGCGTAGGTCGTATGGGCACTTTTAAAGGACAAAACTAGTATGGGGTTCAATGTTTAGACGAAACCTAAGTCTCTGGTCCACGGTCGACGAACGAATCCTGCACGCGGCATGCAAAATATGTTTTTCGTTTTTATAAATAAACATTGAGTAATGGCTATTTTTTTTTTACTGGGAAAAGTGAAAACCGACTATCATATTTTAACTACATATCTACAGTGTGAATCTGAACACGACAACTGTTGGTGCGGGCCGCGAGGAAACGAATTAATATGACGGGCATAGACCGTAACGTCAAGTTTATACCGTTAAGGTTACGAAAGGTGCCGATTCGAATTGATAATATTTCGAACGAACATTTGTAAATAATAATAAATAATATTCATTATCTAACGCGCGGTTATTAAACATATGGTGTCGCGGCGAAACGACAACAAAACGGAAAGCAGTGGACCCGACAAAAACAACGGGACACATAACACTGGAGACGAACGCACACGGCTCGGCGACAGCGTTTTCACAACGTTTTCGTTGTCGACAATTTAAAAAGGTTTAATTTTTTGGTATTTACCTTCCGGGCGTGTAAACGCGCTACGGCACAACTCAAAGTGCCTGGCACTGGTCGCATAAGTGACTCTTGGTCTACCGCACCATTGTCCGATTATAATATAAAAACGGTAAAATTGTCACGGAAAATAAAATAATATTATCAACGGCGCTGACGAACTGTGACGTGCAGTGTCGTCCGCGTACGACTACTGGTCCCTAAAACGTATGAAAAAAAATTACGAAAACTTTCTCTTCCGGCATCGGGCGGTTCCCCATGGTACAATGGTATCGACGAGTCGGTACTCTAGCCTCCCATTTAGTCACTAGAGATCTTTTTTTTTTGTTGTTGTTGTTGTTGTTGTTTTTGGTGCCTATGTTGTCATCATGCGTGTGTTGCGTTTGCGTAATAAGACCCGACGGCGGACAAAGATCAAAGATCTCGTATAGCCGGGAACAAAGCCTGAGTATATTGACGACCGATGAAGTGGATGATAATGGTGCACAGCTGACAGTGTGCCCGTCGACCGAAACCGGTAGATAGCGACACCCGTTGCCAAGTCACCGACAATCGAAATAAATGGTTACCGTCAAGGTGTACTATAAATACACTTTGTTTTGTACGCACGTATATAAAACAACTAGAGATGGCCGACTCCGCGAAAACTAATGTCACCAACAAAATGGCCGCCAATCGTTATCTAAGAGGTGAATGTTTACAAATTAAACTGATATGATAAGTGACAAGACTATTTTGGAACATTACTGTACAGTGTACAGTGTACACAATATTCAACCCTTTATATACGTGGCGTGGGGATATTAAAACACCGTTCTTTATCAATAATTTAAAACATAAACATTCACCTCTTAGATAAGGATGGCGGCCATTAAGAATACCGAAGTCGGCTATCTATAGTCGTTTGATAAATATATGCGGTCACCGTTATAAAGATTAGAGATAAGGAGACTAAACTCCATAATGTACAAAATGTCCCGACCGCGGTCATATATACAGGTTCAGCAACCCACCTTTCTTACAACGTAAAATCCTTGATCTCTTATGTAAAAGGTAAAACTGTCAGAAACACAGCGCGCACATCAGACCACAATTATATTGTAACTGTTATTGTGCCGGATTGCACCAAACTTGTCGTTATCCCTTGATAAATATTAATAATATTAAATATTTATATAATGGATAAAGTAACAGTTGATTAATTCGTAACCACGATTAGAGATATACATATGCCTATGTACTAAGATTATATCTCTAATCGCGGTTATAACAAGTGTTAAAAATATTTACGAATGTAAATTGTCGACGTTCCACACCTAATATTTGATACAACTAAACATCACCAAAAATGAGTGATTCCGCTAAAGACATCAAATAAGAAGAAAAGAGAAACCCTACGTAAAACAAAGAAAACTCTTTTTAGAGTGGAGTGAAGTAACTAATGGTTTTACACAGATGTCTTTTTTTTATTTTACGAACAACTTTTCTACAAGCAATTTAACTCCGATTTACAATGATAGCACTTTTTCTAAAAGGAAATCCGACTGGGAGGGTAATTAATTATTTTATCATAATATGGCATATATATTGTCGACAAAGCGTCACTTTCAGCTGAACTCCGAATCGTTTTTTCGTTGCAATAGTTTATCGTTGTTCGCTGAAACCCATTAATTTCCCGACTGTATCCTCTCCTCCCAACTTTCAACCCACAACAGTGGCTGCACCCACGTGTGAAGTATGTCCGTCTTTTTATTTGTATGTACGTTTGAAGCTCAGATTTTTATGAAAATCGATCAATCGTAACTCGTAAGGTCATACAATTATACACGGGTATTATTTGAGGTATTTACCTTACCTAACTGAAAACACGTATCGGTTGCGTTATCAGTACTAAAATGCGCCAAAGTAACACAAATTGTAGGTATGATTACTGATCAATACTATTTGTTTATTTGAACGATAATAAATATCGCAAAATCACACGCTGGCTAATAATGTTGGTAATAACATTAATTTTGTTTATTGTACGCGTATTTAGTCGAATCGTAGTAAATTATATTTCTTAAATTTGTTTTAAAATTTTTATTTTTCTGAATTGTTTTATATGAATCATTCCTTTAAACTTTTTCATCAGTTTATTAAGTTTTCTTCATCGGTATAATAGTAGTGTTTTTTGTGTTTTTTTTTTTCTATCTTTTCGTAAATCTTGTTTTTTCCTTTATTTATTTGCACGTAAACTCCACGAGCCAAGACTGCTGGTAGCTGCGGATGACTTCAAGGAACGGCGATCCGGATTCGGTGATCGTATTACATTAAAGAGGGTAATATTACGGATTTAAGGTAAGGTTAGGTTAATCGACACAGTGGATTAGGCCTACTCGGGGACACCACTATAAAAAAAACGCGCCTCGTGCAAAACCTCATACGCTTTTCGAAAAACGTCAAATACCCGTAATAATACTACATTGGCGTTTGTCGATAGCTAAGGTGGTGCGGAAAATTGCACACGGGTCTTATCCGTATCTTTATTGTAATTATTCGATATTTTAGAAATTATGTATTATCTTTTCCTACGTTTATCTCGGTTTTCGGATGTTTGTTCCCAGTTTTCACATTTGATGAGAAAATCGAAAAATTACCTCCTTATAGACTATAGTACCTATCTCCCCAGTCCGATTTCAATCACAATCGTACATTAAATTATCGATAACAGTGGCTGCACCCGTCTCTATTGTCCTAGGACAGCTTTTTTCACATTATTTTTAAATTATTGTCGTTTTTGAACTGAGGGTGCTGAAGCCCCCCCCCAAACACCCCCTCTAATTGTGCATATGATTCTGGCTTTATTGCATAGATTGGAAGTATTATTCTCTATAGATAGGTACGTAATCGAAGATTTCTTATGAAGATTATCAGAGCGGTTTATTAAGAGAGAAGTCGACCTCTGATCACATTTTCACAATCGGATAATTCATGGGAAAACTCTATGAATAAGGTAAGAATATCCACACATTGTGCTTCGTTGACTTCAGACAGGGATACGAAAGTATAGTTCGAGAGAAGCTGTGAATGGCCTTAAAGGAATTCGGGATCCCCAAAAAAATTGTCCATCTGATAAAATAATGTAATACACGCACGTTGTGCAAAGTGAAATTTGGAAATGGTGTGTCACAGAGTTTTGAATATAGTACTGGTCTTAATCAGCGCGACGCACTATAATCACCTGTGCTTTTTAGTCTAGCATTCGAGAAAGTATAACCCGGTCTATGTCAATACGTCAAAGTACGGAGTTTTTGTCTAGTATCACGAGGGCGCATCCAAAGGGGGTGGCGGGGGTTGACGGGCTTAAACCCGTCTCAAAAAGGTTGGACCCTAGCATTTTGATTATTTTATTAGGTATCGACTAGGAATTATGATACAAATTATCAGCCATCGATATTGAAACAATAGGTATAACATAATATTATATATTTATACCCCCCCGCCATTCCGGGAACCGGGAAAGACCTCTGCTCTCTATTACTGGCGGCAAAAAACGGACGTGTGCGTCGAGCCTTGTCGTCGCGACGCCGTTAACCAAACGATGCAATGTGCCAGCAGAAAACGACGAAGAATATTATAAACGTGCCATTTTCATCCCGCGGCTGGATTCTTCTATAAACAATACATCCGAACGGATTCAAAAGCACAAATGCCTTATTAAATGTTTTAAGTGCCTTCTACCGACTGGAAATTCATCTAATTAAACAGAAAAATCACAGTATTTAAAACTTTTAGAATTTTATAAAAATGATGTACTAGAAAATAATGGCGTTATGCTGCAGTAGCCGAGTGTGATTTATGATACCGAAAATTGCCCAGTGCCCAAAACATTTCATTACCACATAATAACGCAATCGATGCATTAAACTTGTGTAATGGAACTGTGTTTCAAACTATATTTGTACTTTTAAAAATGTTCTCAACATTGCGTGTTTCGACTTTCGGATTTATGTACATATCTTAAAATAAATACTATTAATATTTGAAAATAATTTAAATTAGCTCCCCCACCCCGAAGAAAAAAAAAATTCCGCGTGCGCCCCTGTCTGTTAACACTCTTTTTGTCTACGCGGATAATAGTTTCCGAGGAGTTTCAACAGCACGGATAGCGAGTCGAATGGACGAATGTAGTATAGAGTCGGCGAAAGTCCTACAAGAGCTTGAGGAGAAGAAAACGAATGATATTAGAACCGAAGTTCTAAATTAAATCGAATTTAAAGAAATCGGACTTAACGGCCATTAGATAAGTGTACTGCGGCTATCTGGGTAGCCGTGGTATCCTGTACATTATACAGTGTGTCTATACATACGTATATAATGGACAATGGTAACACGATATAGACGTATTAATACAAATTTGCATGGTGTACGACTGCAAACAGCCGTGTTATACACCCTGCGCAGCCTATGTAATACAATACACCCTTATGGTCACAGTTTAATCGTGTTAGGTGCATAATATTACTAGCGAATACCGTGTATATTTCTGTAAACGCGTTTGACATTATAATGTTAATACAATGTCCGTTGTAAGTGTCGAAATGTATTTAATAATATTTTGCTAGCGATTTGTATTCATTAAGTAATTTTTTACATCGAAACATAGTGAAGAGGTAGGGTTAAAAAGAAAAAAAACGAATTGGCCCGGCCCAAGACCGACGTGGATACTTACATTTAAGTCGGGCCGGGCCGTGACTATACGGTGGGTAAATGCGTAACTGGACAAAAAATGTCCATCATCATCGGGTTTGCAAACTGCCATACATTCGATAGCGATCGCCATTTCCAAAAAAAGCTAAGACTTTGTCGAATTTCACACTCTCTCATATCCCACCCCTCGACTCGTAAAAAACGAATAGCGCCCGGCCCTGGTTGTGACGCGGACGTGGGACAACTGTCAGGTGTTTCATGCGACAACAAAATTCCATTAAGACTTACAGGCGAGTTTTACAGAAGTGTGATTAGGCTGTCCATGAGGTATGATAATAATGAACAATAGGCGTCCGAGGACAATAGAGTATACACGTCACTAAAATTAACATCCGATCAATAATTATTGCGGTATGAGAAAAATGATAAAAATAAAGAATAAAAAAAACAACCTAATCGTATAAAACATTCCGTGGTGATGGAATCTTATGGTGAACATGGATAATATGGTTGTTGGGTAGTATGCGGGGTGGGACAGCGAATGAGTGTAGCAGAGATGTGAATTGCTTAGGTGGATATGAGTGCAGCGACGAGAGATGACAGGATGCGGATGAACGCAGTGGTTTTACCACGGTGACCGCGTCTGTACAATCAACTTTTCTTTCGGACATTTTCCCCCGATTATTCGGGGGATGGTAGTCAATGTTTTCTAGTTTGCCCATTGGCGAGATCGTTTTCGATTTTCTTCACAGCGATTTCGATAGCGAGGAAAAACGTCGAAAAACAGTATTGTTTGTGATATAGAGGTAACGTTTGGTTTCCGTTATTTTCCATGACAAACGGACACAATACATATTTTAGGTATGATCGTTGAAAAAAGATTAAACAAAGTACTTTTGGCGTCGACAAATATTCTTGGATCATATACAATGGATATTTTAGTGCACACGTACGTTAGCGACGAGTCGCCTGGCAAGTGCCGTGTAATACGCATGCGCCATCGACATATTGCATTTAATTTTGCTATCGTATTTAATTTCATATTATTCATGTAAACGTCATAACATTAGCAGCGTCATTGAACGCCATGAGCTGTGTTTCGTTTTATCTGTACAGTCAATTAATAATTATCCAGACGGGTTTATTTGGGTTTATCTTTTATTTTAATGCCGAGATAAATACGCGACCATTCGCTAGCGCACGCGTAGTTGTAGATGGCGGTCGAGTCGCGAACATATTGTGCACCGTTGATATTATAATATTATTATGTAATCTACGGGCCACGGCTCCGTCCATTGTACACGGTCTAAATTACTATGGTATCGTCTTTGCGGCACGGCACACTGCCTACACTTTAGTGACGTCACCTTGGGTCGGTATTTTTTTTTTTTCATCGTACGCGGAGTACCACGCCGGCGGCCGTCCGTCACCCAAACGACGGGAAAATCGGACCAATCGAATACAGATAAAAGCTACGGGTACAGAATTTGGGGCGGGGCGCGGGAACGGTGCGCGTTCCCGTCCAATATGCTGTGCGATCGTAGAGCATACCTTTCGTGAAATTTTCTATCACTAATATTGTAATGGTTCCGATGGTTCTGTCGATAAGTCGGTCGCCGCCCCCGCCGCACGACCGTGATATCGTCATCATTATCAACAGCAGCAGCAGCAGCAGCAGCTATCGCACTATCGGTCATTTCGCCGTACCGTTTGCCATAGGTCGCAGAGACGGTACTCGACGTCGGGGCACGGGGAAACGTAGACAAATATAAAACGCTCGCGCGGCGTTCGGGTTCTGTGTTTTTACGGGCGCGCGCGTGTACCGCTACGGATATTGTACGTGTTTAATTAAAAATAAATTTTGGGGGAAAAAAAAAAAAAAAAAACGGGCACAAGCCACGCCTGCCCAGTCCGCCGCCGCCGCCGCCGAACGTTCGATAAGCCGTGTGTCCGTGTGTGAAGAACGCGCCCCCTCCCACCTCCCCGCCGCATGTTCGTGCGTGCGTTTTGTCGTGCCGAGTCGACTCGAGTGTGTGTGCGGCGCCGCGTTTTTCGCATGCTGAAAATTCGTGTACAGTCGCACGCAATTCCGTAAACCCATTTCAATAACGACAACAACAATAATTGTCTGTAACGTTGTTGAACCGAAAACGCCGGCGGTGTCGTAGTCCGGCGCGCGTTTGTCCGTTCGTCTCGTCGTCGGTAGTGCGAGCGCGCTGCGCCGGCGGTGGTACGACGACAACACTGGTCCCGTCTCCGCCGTCGTCGTCCGCCGCGACGACTAGACCGTGGTGTGTAATACGGGGCGGCCGTGTTTGTGCGTGCGTGCGTGCGTTACCAGCGATAACGCGTACGTAAAAGACAACAAACGTCGCGTCGAAATAATAATAATAATAATAATAATAATAATAAAAAAAATTGTAATGTACGATTTTTAGTAGATAATATACCGACGGGAAAAAAAAAAAAAATAAATAAAAATAATATCATTTTCAAATACTATTATCATCGTTGTTATTGTCGTATTGTCGATTCGCTCCCGCGCTACGTTCCGTCGTGCACGCCGTTTTCGAATCGTCTCGATACCGACAAAACAGTGCGCCGTCCCGGATTACCGTCTGCGTATTGGCAATAACAACTGCGCTATGCGGAGCCACCGCGCCACATAGCCGCCACGGTCGACGTCCGTTTCCCCGTGCGCCGCTGGCCGGTCCGTGTCCAGCGCCAGCCGCCGCCGCGGGGCGCAAGAGCCCGACCACATCTGTCCAAGGTACGAGGCGTAAAAGGCCCCCCGGGAAACCGTGTCGCACCATCGCCCCGTTACGATATCCGAACGGTCGTCCGGACGCGGGAGACGGGATTGTCGCGGTCATGTCGCGGTACCGCCGAGCGACGACGTGCGATACCGCCTAAAAAGGGCATATGCCACCGACTGCGTCGTAACCGCGCGCTTTTACGCTGGTCGGCAGTAGTGTACGCCGCCACCGCGGACGATCGTTGTCAACAGCACCGCCGTCGCCGCAGTCCGTCACGGCGGGCGCCCGTCTCGTTCCGATATTATGTAAGTCTGTAGTTCCTATCGCATGTTCTCGGCGTGCCGTATTGTTGTTGTTGAGCTTTAATCAACCGCCCCCGTCCCATTATCCGTCCCTCTCGACCGCCTATCCCGCATGCCGTCCCGTTTACTGGCAAAAGACCCGTGCGCCGTGTCGAAATCCCGTCTCGGAAATCCTCGTCGAAACGGGATCGCGCCGTAGTCTTGTACGGTACGCGGTGACCACTGGGACAATGGTATCCGGTCCGTCAGTTCCCTACAATTAATCACCTATTTGGTTCTTTTTCATGTACTACCCAGATTGCTGCGAAAGAGCGGCCCTTGTACTGTTGACGGGGCGCACAGTCTCTCGCGCGCCTTTTGGATTTTCAATCGCTGTCACACAATGAGTTCTCACGGATGGTGCTATTGAACGCCGGCATTATTTTGCCGGCGTCCAATCAAGACATGGACGGCAGTAGCGGAGCCAAGCAAGCAGACAGTTGGCACAAGCATGAACCATTCATGATGGTTGAAAAGCAAAAAAATAAAGGTTAGTAGTACCTATTAAGGAGACTCAATGTGCCTAATGAGATTATCTAAATCAAATAAGTTCATTGTACGTCATACGCATAATAATAATAACCTATTAAGTTAGTCGCAGTAAAAATAAAATCCATGGGCCCCTTGTCATCTGCTGTTCTTTTTAAGAAAACAAACAAACTTTATTTTTATCGTTGTTTGTTATTTATTGGGTTTTAGTCTTGACCCTCTTTGAGTTTGTGAACCCATAAGAACTAACTGTGTTGTGTTTTAAAACAATTTTTACCAGATGTCGATAGTGTCCTTGAATACATTTGGATACAATGAAATCTCTACATAAAAACACATGTTTAGACAACTGTTTTGATAAACAGTAATCCCATTATCCTTTTTCTTTTATTATTTTTAAAATTTTATTGTTCAAAACTAACGTTTATCTTTCATAATAATTATTATACTTTTTATGTACTATCGTATACACATATTTTGGACTTGAATAAATCACTTTTTGTTTTTGTATGTTATCCATACCGTTTTAGAAATCACTAGGTATTATTTAGTATATCTATTAATTCTTTGTTCATTTGCAAATTTACATAATAATTTACACAATTTACATGTAATGGGTACTTATATTCATTAAACTTCACCCTAAAAATGTTTTTATTAATTTACTTCAATTGTGTTTATACACAATATGTTTTTCAAATGCTAAGAAACTTGTACATTATCTACTTTTTCCACTTAAAACTACTTAAGTTCTTAAAAATACTGTTTTTAAAAAGTTATCTACATTTTCATATTTTACTACTGAATTATAATTGTCATATAATATTAACTATTTTGTCATTTAATACTGCATAGGATTTTAAAATCTGTTTTCATGTGTTAGTCTTTTTTTTTTAAAAACTTTTTCTTATAAACCAAGTGTATACAATTTTTAAATATTTCTTAAAAGATGCATATGTTTTTGTTTGTTTCACATTCATTTTTGGATAATATTATGTGATTAGTTTACCAATTCTTATAAGAATCACCTAACTGCATAGGTGGTGGTAAGTTGGAATAAGTAATGTAATATAGGAAATCTTTTGACTATAAAATATATTGTAATTACATAAGACTGATGGTTATTTTATGTACCCTACTTAAAAATAACATTACATTACACATGACTGTTGGGTAATTTAGCAAATTATTTGTCAGTAATTTATTTCAAATGCGTTTTCTTACTTGTATGTGTTTTAATCGATTCACTGGCAGGCATATGGTTGGGGATTAGATGACACACTATAAATAGATTCTCTGTACTGTCGAAACTATTTATAGAGGTTTGTTAATCGGTCTACACGTTTTAAATTCCAAATTCTACTCTAAGGAGCTGAACTCAGAACTTAATATACCTATTCAACTTATATGTAATGTATGCACCTATCAAATGTATGTATTATGATATAAAATCAATGAACTTTTATCTTCTGAACTATTCACAATTTGTTGGCTGTTGGAGAATTTAAATTTATGTTTTATGCAATTCTTTTTTATTGTATAATAAATTGCTATCTAACTACATAATGTATGTGGTGAAAAATAATTAAAAAATAAATCAATGATTTAACAGTTGTGACCTTGCTCAATGCAATATTTTCCTTTTGTTATTTGAAGACCTATCTGATCAATCAAGGAAACTAGTATTAGGTAGCAGAATTTCAAATTAATTATTTTCATTGGTACCTATCTAGAATAAAATATGTATACCTACAGTTTTTCTATTTTATACGGGAATAACTGTTTTTCAAATGTTGTCTACAAATTATTGTGGTATAAAAAAAAAATAAATTACTTCTTTTAATAATACTGATTATTGGTATTAATATTTTATTATTATTTTATTAAGGTCATGGCCAAGGATCCCAAGAGAGTAATTTTGGTTTTGGTGGCGGTCCTTTGTATGGAAGACTTGTTGCTGAAGACCAGTTACCAATGGTTGGCGGTGTTGCTCCCGTGCACGCAGATATTCACGCGATGCAAGCTAGAATACCGCCTCACTTTCGAGATCCATCAGCGGCACCCTTAAGAAAACTTTCGGTGGACTTGATAAAGACTTATAAGTTTATAAATGAGGTAAGTACCTATATGAAATTATAAATTTTTACTTTACGATCTTGCTCAATTTTAAACAGGTCAATACTATTTAAAATATAAATACATTACCATTTGTAGATCTATTCAATTGCTAGGTATCTATTATGAATAATGCTCTAAGGTCATACTATTGTACTTATGTTATAGTAAAACTATATGCTCTCTTGATTTGTTGTAAATTTATATTTTATCCTAGAAAATGTGTTTTTTTTTTCTGAACCTGTTGTGATATTTTCGTTAGAACAAATGTAAAGCATATTATACCTACATATCTATCCAAGTTCTACTTAATTGAGTTTTAGTTGGGAAATATTTTCTTTTGGAATGCACACACAATTTTTGTAATATCAATGGTGAAAAGGTAAAATGTCATAAACAATAAAATAATCGTTAACAACATATTTTGCTATTCTTGGTACATAGTGCAGCATCCCACATTCATACATCTAACGCAAGTGTTTTTACGTTAATTTTAGAGCTGTTAATATCCTTTTTAAAATTTTGTCAAAAATTGCATTAATTAGTATGTAAGGGTAGGTAAAATCAGGCATAAATGTAATTCGACCGTCATAAACGACATGATACATGACCACATTTTTATACAAAGGGTTAACCCCTTTTTTTTATACATCATTTAAAAATAATATTCCCACTTTTTTTAGTGATATGCAAACTATATTAAATGATAAAAAATAAAAATATTATTTTACATCATTTCTTTCTTTACCTTAAAAACATGCCTAAAAAGAAAATTCTCATGCTCATAGAGTGGTTTGATTACAAAGGTTATTTTTGCTGAAAGAGAAAAAGAGACTTCCTACAAGTCACATTGAACTCTGTTTTTCATTATTTTCATTTCAAACTTTATAATATGTTTTTAAAAATGGTTAATTTTTAACTTTTTTTAATACTATAATTTGAAATCAAATGCAAATTTAGAGTTCAATGTGGTCCAAAAAAAACTACAAAAAACAATACAAACCTGATAAATGTGTCATTTAGTACAGATTTGGAGTTAACTACAAACAAAATTTGTTCAGTGTTGAATAGAATTCAGGTAAACAAAAATTCATATCACAAACAATGTAAAATTTAATATTTTATTAATTGATTAATATTTTAATTTTTAATTTATGATGAATTCTATTTTATACAAATAGTTGTTTTAAACATATTATTTACTTTAAGTTTAAGTACAAATTTGATAATAATTTTAGAATTCTAAAAGTAAAACTAATTGATGATTTTGTCTTTATCATCAATTTATCCATAATCAATTAAATTAGTGTATTTAATTGTGTGTTTAGAAAAATATAAATTGGATGCCTTAATTTGTTTTGTTTGATTATGTGTATCAGTTGAAAACTAAAGGCCTGACTGGTCTGTAAAAAGTAAAACTATTATATATATATTATTAATCATTAAAAAGCAAATAAAATTCTCTTCAAAATTGTATTTTATTAAAAATTAAATTTTTTTCTGTGTAACTAATTATAATAATAAATACTGAGTATAATATGATACCTAAATTAAATTAATACTTATAATATTCCCCCCTCTTTTTGCAGTAGGAACTAATGTATACATTTGTTTTATGTAAATGCAATTAATTACAACTTTTAGGAATTCATAATGAAACTATTTAAAATAATTAATTCAATATCATTTATAAGATTCTATTTTAAGATTATTGTAACAAGTTAACATATGATTTTATTAGGGTTTCACTAAGTGGATTCGGATAAATAGTTATGATATTAACTATTAAATATGATTAAAATAAGTAGAATCAACTTACTTTTATCAATATGCTTTTCGGTATTTTATGATAATAGCTTCTAAGAATGTTAAGAAAAAATTTTTATTTTAGTAAAGAAAACCCAATAATTCATCGAAAAATAATAAAACAACAATTGAATAGATTTCTAAATTCAGTTCTTAAATTTTTCTTGACTCTTGGGAATACCATTTATTTCTAGTGGGTTTGTTTTATAATGTTCTGTGTTGAATTTGTATGTATCAAAGGTCAATTATTTGATCTTTTTAATCTTAGTAACCTAGTTTTGTAGATTACAAATTAATAGGAATATAATTGTGTTGTGTTATAGTAAGTGTATAAGCTTAATTATGTTTCTTTGTCATAATAGTTTTGTTTATTAAAGTGATAGTTTCATTTTTTCAAATTATTATTTTAGAAGAAAACTAAAAGACATACATGTTTGAACAACTGTTGAATATTGTGGGTTTTGTTTGTATCTATAAAATACAGTTTAAACTTTTTAAATAATTTGTGACATAGTTTATATATTTTTTTTAAGGTTTACTATGCTAAAAAAAAAAAAAGAGCTGGTGGTGGAGCGGTTGGATTGAGTAGCCAACCACAAAATAATGGCGCACCCGTCGAAGGTCCCGTGGCCAATAAAAAAGAGAGGAGAGTATATAATGATGGCTATGATGATGACAATCACGATTATATTATTAGAAGCGGGGAGAAGTTTTTGGATCGATACGAAATCATATCCTTGTTGGGTAAAGGATCATTTGGACAAGTGAGTTAAATATATAGACTGACAGATTTTATTTATTGTGTTTAATTTTTTTTTAGGTTGTCAAGGCCCGTGATGAAGAAGAAGATTGTTATGTAGCAATTAAAATAATAAAGAACAAAAAACCATTCCTTAATCAAGCTCAAATCGAAGTTAGGCTATTAGAAATGATGAATAGAGCTGATGTTGACAACAAATACTATATTGGTATGTGGAAAACTATTCATAATATGTATTTTAAATGATAATTGCTAATTAATATAATTGATTGTTTACAGTTAAACTCAAGCGACATTTTATGTGGCGCAATCATCTGTGCCTAGTGTTTGAGTTATTATCGTATAATTTGTACGATTTGATTAGGAACACTAATTTTAAAGGTGTTTCTTTAAATCTTACACGCAAATTTGCTGCTCAACTATGCACGGCTCTGTTGTTCCTATCCACACCAGATCTGTCCATCATACATTGCGATCTGAAACCCGAAAACATATTGTTGTGCAATCCTAAACGATCAGCAATTAAAATAGTAGATTTTGGCTCATCTTGCCAACTTGGCCAAAGAGTTAGTTTTGAAAAAAATGATCTTTATTGATATAATGATTATTTAAACATGTTCGTTTTTTTTTTTTTTTATAGATATATCAATATATTCAATCACGTTTTTATCGTTCACCTGAAGTTCTACTCGGTATACCATATGATCTGGCAATCGATATGTGGAGCTTAGGATGTATATTAGTAGAAATGCATACTGGAGAACCATTGTTTAGTGGAACAAATGAAGTACATTTATTTTAATATAATATTAAATTTATTAAATATATTGTTGATGAGAGGGAAAAAAATACTAAATTTAATTTAACTTTTTTCAGGTTGATCAGATGAATAAAATCATTGAAGTATTAGGGATGCCTCCCAAACATATACTTGACCAAGCCCAAAAAGCCCATAAATATTTTGATAAAATGCCTGGTGTTGAGTCTTATACACTAAAAAAACCTAAAGATGCTAAAAAGTATAGGAATCCTGGTGGTCGAAGGTTACATGATATACTTGGTGTGGAAACCGGAGGTCCGTATGCTAGGCGATTAGGGGAACTCGGACATTCAGTGTCTGATTATCTTAAATTTAAAGTGAGTATTTCTATAATACTGTATAATTATATATTTTGTTTGTGGCTTTAAATTATGTTATCTAATGAGTACATGTTGTGGATTCTAGGATCTTATAGTTCGAATGCTAGATTACGATCCCAAAACTCGAATAACACCTTATTATGCATTACAACATAACTTCTTCAAAAGGACTTCTGAAGAAGGTACAAATACAGCCAGTGGTATCGCTCAAGCCGGACTGCATAGTTTAGGTGCTAGTCCGCCGTTTAATAGTTTACCTAGTAATAACGGCCCAGGAGACACTAATGTGCAATCATCTGGTAAGAATATTGTTATTTAGTGTTTAATATTAATTATGTTAAAAAAAAAAATAAGCATACTCTTAAGTCTCAAACCTTTTGTTTTCAATTAATGAAGTCATTATTAAAACCAAATAAAATTGTATATATGTATATATATATTTTTTTTTTTTTGGAGACTAATATTCAAATAAATATTTATATATATATAATTATTATATTTTTTTTGTTCTCGTCTACCTCAAAGGAAACAATTTCCCTACACATTTTTACGCTCGATGACTATTGCTAAACTTTGGGTCAACAAATTAGATTTCAAAATAAGTGTAAGTCAATTCTTAATAATGTGATGTGTGTTGTGTTGTGTTATAATTTGTTATTTTAAGTGATAGCATTTCATAATAAAATCATTTTTATTTAATACTTCATGCCATTTTGTATAAACCAGTATGTTGTAGTTTAATAGTTAAAATTATTTTGCTTTCATTTTAAATAGTGTATATGTAGTAATAACTGGTTTTCATTTCAATCATTTGATTGTGGTTTATATTTTACTTTTCGATTTCTGGTAATATTAATTGAATGATCAATTAGGTTGAGTGTTTTAAAATAAATTTTTTAGGTACTTGATTAATTATCATAGTAAATTAAATTAAAATATTTATATAAAGATATTAAAAAATAGTATTTATTTATTTAATTTTAATAGTAGTCATTTAATTGTTTTATGAATATTTTAACTGTGGTGTTTTACTTATATTAAAACAAAAACCTATTATAAACATATTAATAATAAAATTTGTTAATTTTACAAGTATTTAAAATAATATATATAGCTTTTATTGAACTTTAAAGTGCTATGACAGATAGTAATGGTTTTGTAGTTACATTTTAAATGTGTATGTTAAATATTTATTTATTTTATTTTGTGACAATTTATTATTCAAAAATCTATAAGTAATATATGTTTTTTTGATATTTGAATCCGTTTATTTATTGTTTATACAATAAAATTAATTAGTTTAGGCAATTTAATTAATTCAATTTTTGTTATAAATTAGTAATTAATAATGCATACACATGTTTTCAAATGTTAAATTTAAATATACAACAAATATATTTAATATATTTTATTTTCGACGTTGATGAAATATCAAATTTTGATAATTCTATATTTTTAGAATTTTCATCGCTTATATATTTATGGAATTCCTTTAAATATGAGAAGTTTTTAATTTGTCTTTGTGGATTCCTATATAATCTATAGGTATAATGTTTATCATATATTTTTTTTTTTAAAAGTTTTTTTAGTAAAAATCCTTTTTCTTACTTATAATCATAATTGATAAATGAGAATTCTTTCTTCTGATAAATTATTAATTCATAATTTTACAAAGTGTTTTGGTTGGATTTACACCACACCAGTAAGCATTGCTAGGATAACTTTATAATTTTGGTATTTAGTTTTGGTTTTTAAATGTGAAGTACTTGCACGGGCCTAGTATAGTATTATAGTATGTTATATTTAATATAATTGTCACGAGTAGAACAGCATAGTATTATGCATATAATTAGTCATTAAAACACTGATGTTGGATATAATATTAAATTAGGACTTTTCAAATTTAGTACTTAGTTTACTTATTTCTAAATCACTGACATGCATATCATATACCATTGCTTCATTAATGGTAATACATTTTGTAATTTACATAATTGCACCTTTAATATTATTCGTTGGATATTATTATTATTATTCAAAAGTACAAATAGCATATTTATATTAATTTTTGTTTTTGTTTTTGTGTTTTTAGCAATACGTTTGCGATCGGACCAGTGTCGAGGTCGAGCTACAATGGATTGCGACCCTCCGCCGATTGCTTCCATTTACCATGGTTATCAGACAGCACCAATGGCCAGACACCATCTGCCTCATCATGTATATCCAATGAATCCGGCATCTGCTGTCGGTGCTATGGTTCACTGTCGACCAACTTCCTTGCCGTTCCTACACCCACAACATCACCCGTATCAGCCGATACAGTCACAACCTCCACGATCGTTGCATTCATTGCACAATCACCCTCTACCTGTACAACAGCCTGTTGCACGGGTGCCGCCGACCCATTCGAATCGAACGAAACAAGAACAAGACGACAATATGATCGGGGTATGTATAGGGCAGAGTCCGGTAGCAATAAACATAACATGATCAAATCGTATATAAAGTGTAGAACAGATGATATTTTTAATTTTATTTTTGTCATGTAAAAATCGAATAACTGTGATTTTTATAAAACGGGAAGAGTATATAATTTTTTAAATAATTCAGGTGATAGTATTTTTGTGGAATAGTGTCAAAAATGTGATTTTTTTTTGACCTAAGCAAATAGATTTATTTTTTTTTTATTAACAAAATTTTAGGCACGAAATTCTTTCGGAATGTATTCATCGTAGAGAACGTTTTTATTACATACTATTTTTGACATATATATTAAATTTTATTAAAAACAAAAGTGACAAGCAATATTTGTCTAGTTAATATATTTATTTAAAAAACTTACACGCTCGCCATTTTTATCTTTATGTTTGTGCGCATATCCATCAGAGTTACCTCAAATCATTTTATAACAATAATTCCAGACAATTTTTTTTTCTCACCACTTCGTATTACATTTTAATAATTATAACAAACACAGCATAGAACTATAACATCTAGAATATTACAATACAAATGTACAAATTATCTTGAATGAATGTATTTAACATCACTTTACATTATGCATTATTTAAAATGTAAATTTATTTTTTCTAAACAGTTTATTACTATTAAGTAAACAAATTTTTTGTCTATAATTATGTACATTCATTCTACGTTATGTTAATGTGTATAGATGAAATTAATTTCCATTATATTTTTGATCGAAAATAATACACTTATACTGAACATAAAACGATTAACATTGTTAAATGAGTTATCATTTTCTATAAATTACAATTTTGGTGATTTTTGATAAAAAATCTTTCAATGGCATTTAATTATTATTTCATTTTTTTTTTTTTTTTACTATTCAAATATATGATTTTAAATTAAATAGGTTTTGAGTAAATAAGTAACAACTCAATCGAATTGATGATATGGATGCTGTTAACTATTGATAAAATCACCATCTCAAATAATTGACGTACCACATAAGATAAAAATATGTGAAAAAAAAGGCTAACGTGAAAATCAACTCTTTTTGATAAAATGGTTTTTTTTTTTAACAGTTACTATTTACAACGATTTACGATAAATAATACGTGCATACATTATGTTATGGTATTTCAACATAATTTCATTATATATTGTGTCTTCCTGGACTATTTAGTATTTTTTATTCTTATATAATATTATTATGTATAATAATATATTATAATACATGGTAGTTTTATTACCCTAAGGGATTTTTTTTACGCGTTGCCACTGCCATAGTGTGAGAACAGAAAACATTTTCTGTTTTTATTTTTAATTTAATTATTTTTTTTTTTTAACTCGGTTTACATATAAATATTAAAAAATTGAACGTTGTTGTCATGTGATGTCATCATCGCTGTTGTCGTTGACGAGCTCATAGTTAATTTTCGATTAGGTTTTAACATCGACGTTGAGGTAATTTTTTTTGTGGGCATGTATAAAAAAAAAAAAAAATGAAAGGAATAAATAAATAAAAAAATATTGTGATAGAACAGGGTGGAATATCCTTAAAATTATTTTGGTCATTATTTGTACTATGATAATTTAATATATATATATAATATATATATACATTTTGATTTATTATTATTTTTTTTTTTTTTTTTAATTTTAAAGACTGTTGTGTATATAGACTATTATAGATATTGTACGTGATGTTTATAATATATAAAATTTAAATAATGATTATGTATAATTATATAAAAAATAGGTAAACGTTTTTATTTATTTTTGTTTGTTTGTTTTTATTATTTTTTTATTATAAGTCAACTGTGCCCGATTTGTAATCAGTACAGAAATTACACTCTTAGGGAATTTTGGATTGAAACAAATTACAACGATAATATTGTGTTATTATTATTTAGCCAAATCGTATATTAAATATTAAAATTATACAACAAATTACACACCTATCATTCTGAAATTTATTTTCGTAAAATAATATTATTCGCATATGGATTATTATATTTTAATAATATATTATTTCGTTTAGGCAATTTATCGTATTACGTCGTTTACGGATATGTTATTATATTATTATTTTTTAAATTGTTTGTTATAGTGACCGATAACACTAATCATAACAGATAACACAAAATAACAGAAATGCATGCGTATTAATACGTGTATGTAAAATAATTGAATAAAAAAATATTATGTACTTTTGAGTTTAATAATGTTTATAGATTGTATTTTTCACTTCTTTATCACATTTTGTCCGACCAAATATCCGATCAATACATTCCTCGCTATGCTCAGAATCTAAATTGTAGCATAAATCTATAATTATTAAGTATAACTAATATATGTACTATGGTAGGCATAGGTGTAAAAATTTAATTCCAATTCAATGCTCTAAAGTTTTAATTCAGCACTCCCAGTCCTAAAAACATAAAAAGTAATTTTCTTTACTTTTCTAGTTGGTTTTTTTTTTTTTTCGAAAAATTTAAATGTTTTATGGTTATTATACAAGATCTTTATTGCAGCCCCACTCACATTGGCTCCCGATTCTGAGAACGTGGTTTTTAGACTATGTAAGTATTTATCTGGAAATTATTTTAAAATCAGTTATAACTGTAATCAAACATGTATTTTGTCCAAAAAACATCTTTTTATAAGTTGTTAATAGTTGTTTATTGTCAATGCGCCATCTAAAAAATTGGCCAAAATCAAAGGTCCTTAATATGGAGTAACGCCGTTTTGTAAATTAATCAATTTTTAACTTTGCTACATATACCAAAATATTAATGTGTGTGTTTATTGTACACTTTAATAATATTAGTACTTATTACTTAACTAAAGAACGGTATGGGGGAGGGGTGTAGTCCCTCGAATCTTTTAGGTTATAGTATTACATAATTTCAGGACCCCAAATATTTGAGCTCCAGTTTGCGGCCACAAATGCAGTTAGGTACTTAATAATGGTATACTTGGTACTTTGTTTCGTATAATGGTTAAATAACTAGGTATGTCAGTAATACATACAGCTTTGGTTGTATTGTGCTTTTCATGGAATAAAAACTGTAATTGTGACGTCGACTGCTGAGGATTATCAAATGTAGTAATTGCGGGATATATCATATAGGATCACGGTTAGGTCACTGATTTAGTACATTTAGTAATTTATATTTATTTTTTTTTTCTATTAAATGTATTGTTGTATTTAAAAAATAATTAACAAACATAATAATCAACAATTAATATCTGAAATGTCAAAGTGTATTTAATAATCATAATATAGGTATGTATTTAATAGCGTGCAATTGAAAAAAATATATTGGTTATTGATTAGGTACCTATTAAAACTATACTTTTCTCTTTTAAAAGAACCAAAACATCTGATAAAATACCTTCATTGACAGATAATTTGGTGTAAGCCAAATTTGGTATAATTTGGTAATAAGCCTGTGTTCTCAAATGTTGTAAGTCCTGTACAAGTCATTAAGAAATAGGTAACTATTTTATAAGAGTATTTTAGTTTTCCATATTGTTTACCGGGTAATGGATAACTTTTTTGTTCTCTTAGATATAGCGGTATGTTTTTGGGGATAAACTGTGTAACGCTATGGTTCATGATATATCATCAGGAGTCCACTTGTACACTTTTTTTTTTTTTTTATTCAACAATAACTATTTGAGTTTTAATAAATAAGCGAGACAACATATTTTCAAATTTGGAATTAAAAATCTGATTTTGATTTTTTTTTTATTAGAAAATATTAAAAGTTTTCTGTTCCGATTTTGGATAATTTTTTTATATTTTGAACATTTGTCATTAAGTTTTTTTGTAATAACTTTTAGCCCAAAATTAAAAAATATTATTCAGATTTAAAAATATACAATAGATATCCACATTAATTTAATCAAATTCAAGTAAACAAAGAGTGTCGATCACAATTTTACCACAAGTTAGAGTTTTCTAAAATCTACTTGCATAGCGGTGAAGTAACCAGATTTATAACTATTGTTTATTGTCACTTCATAATATATATTGACTAAATAATTATTCAGTGTTTATTTTATTTTCCTAAATTTCTAAACCATTCTATGAAGTGACATAATTTAAATACTAGCATTGAAAACATAAATGGCATAAACGTAAACGGTCAGAAACAAAATATATAACTGGGAATTTAATACGACAATGTAACATAAATTACGACATAAATGCGCCAATATTCAAAATGTATAATTGTATATACGGTATATGTATATGTGTGTGTGTTTGTATGTAATATATTTATTTTATTCATTTATAAATGAGAAAGGATATTATATGTAGGCACAATGTGTATCAATATGTACGTTATTTTCGAAAATTCAAATGAACGATAACGTCCAACGGGTGCTAAAATTTGTCAATACTTTCACAGTTTCACCCTTAAAAGAGCCGATACTGAGGCTGGTACCGGTCACTATTGTAGGTGAAAAGTTGGGAAGGTGGGATACATAAGGTTATTTCGTTTATATCTGTAAGCAACGATAAACCGTTGCTTGACGAAAGACGATTCCGAGCGCAGTTCGGTAGTACATAATTTAAAGTGTTGTTATTTTTTTTTTTTACGATTTTCGTTTAAATTTGATTTCAAAACGCTTATTATAAAAAAAAAAAAGTTATCCGATGATTTTGAAAATTGTACCACGTCTAAGTAAGTCCAATATAAGTATTATTTCCAAGTTTCAAGTCTACGTGTATTTATAACCGAATTACAGCAAAAAAAATACCCAAAAATTAAAATTCCTTAAAAGCTCAAAAGTTTTGGCAACGATATCGTAGGAAAATAAATCAAAATAGTATCTTGTGCTTTTTCGATTAAATTATTTTTTCTGATTGAAACGTCGTCCGTGTTTTTATAAAATACTGAAATCGTTAAACTGTACGTTTTCGGCTTAAATGTTTTTATTTAAAAAATGGCGTCGAAAATCAAAAAATGACCTGCCTAAAGTACCATATAGACAACTTGAGCTTTCAGAAAAGTTGCTATACGTAAAAATCTGAGCAAGTTTATTAGGAAAAAACGTGTCTACAGACAAAGAAAAATAAAAAAAATAAACATCTTCGTAAAACCATTAGCTCCTTCGTTACGCTCGGAATCTAAAAATTCTCTAATAATGCATTCTATTTATGATTGTGTTAAAGCATCAAGGTAAATTAGTGTTTTCAAGACTTTAAAATTGAGTTTATATTTTCGAACATTTTTGTTGGAACTCCATTCTTGACTCTAGTGCAATATTTAGAGAAGTACAAGGAATCAAGTAAAATCGAAAAATAATCTTACCAATATGCATCATATCAATAAAAAAAAGTTTTCTAACGGAAACACTCCTGAAATCGATAATATTAAAATAAGATTTGTAGTTAACAAGTTATTTATTAGGTACGGATAGAAAGAAAAAAACACATCGCAGCATAAAACTAATATTCGTATGTTCCTCGTTTGTGTAGTACGTATAACCGATAAGTAAATCCGATTTTTTAATAACCTACAATATATGGATGTAAAGATTTCGTAATGTAAAATTAACTTAATTAATTCCTAATTATCTTAATACCTAATTAACTCCAATATTACAATCACGTATTCGCGTGTACGTACAGTAATATTATCTACGTAATAACATTTAAATTCCAGGAAATATTCTCGTTTAAAAAATATGTAAGTATATAGTTTTTATAGTTTTTACTATTTCGTGATAATGGTGCTATCTAGTGTAAAATATTATTTTCTAACGATTTGCAAGAGACGTCTTAAGTGAATTTTCCACTCTAATCTGCCCTAAACTTACAGTTTCTTATTTTCACTAACGGATAAGGACATAAATATAAAGAGCTAAAAGTCAATAATGGTTTAGTGAGTTTTGGTATAAACAGAAATTATAAAATATTGGGAGTGAATTTCGGCTGGGGTAAAAAATTAAAAAATGGTTTTAAAATAAAGTTTAAACGATTTGATAATGATAAGAAAAAAAAGAAATCCAATTCACTTAAAATCCTCTGAGATAATTGCTGGTTCACGATAAAAAAATTACCCTGTATATGTATATATAGGTAGGTATACATTTTCTGAAAATCGGTTGTTTTAGTAGTCCTATATTATAATATTTTTATTCTGATTTTGCAGGAGGTAGGCAAAACCATTTACGAAAATGAAAGTCGGTGTTTTATATTTTATCACACAGTAGAAAAAAACAGCCACTATATTACGGTGTTTCTCCCATCGCCCTTTGGATCCGCCGTTGTTAGTTCAATTAAAATTTAATTCTTTAATATCTATTGGTTTACGCCAGGGGTGGTCCAACCCAAATGATCTCGTGGACCACATTGGGAATACATTATAGGCTCACGGGCCGCATACTAAACTATATATTTTAGATTTGAGCAAAACAAAAAAAGTTTTGGTGCATTAATTAATTAAAATAAACAGCATGAATTATTATTGTTTTTATGATGAATCATAATTTATAAACATAGATAATAGTATAATAATTTTAATTTAATGTGGGATATTTGTTTCTCAATTCGTTCACTAAACTTTTGCGAATCTATATCAATGCTTGTATTTGCACATCGTGATTGATTGTTAGGTTTGAGCGTGATTTATCTTTGGCTAATTTCATTTTCGAAAAATATGATTCATAGGTATAAGTTAATCCAGAAGCATTTGCAACTTTTTGTGCCAGATTTCTCAAATTGGAACATTTTTCTTTTGTTATAATAATGTTATAAAAATCTATTTTAGATTTTGATGTTTCAAAAATGTGTTTTAATTCACTATTGTATTGTAAGTCAATGAGTTACGCGTGAAGATATTCTGGGGCCTACTCGACATCAGTACGAAAAGGAGATGAATATATATTGAATATTTTTTTTGTATTTGTCTAAATTGATGAAACGACTCTCAAAAGCAGATATAAGTTTCCTTATTTCTTTTGCATATTTAATTTAATAGATATGGTTTGAATTTTTCAATTCGTTTAGCAATGGAAAGTGTTGAACGTTTTTTTTTTTTTTTAATTGTGATTCGAATAACAATAATTTCTTCTGAAATGCATTGATGCGATTAAATGAGTCAATTGTAAAAATTATCTTTTCCCTTTAATGATATATTTAATTGGTTGAGTTTTTCAACAATATCCACTAAAAAGCATAATTCTAATACTGGTTTTTGCTTATCATTTATAAACAAGTCAATTTCATTA